AATGTCATACCTTTGCAAAATGCGGCACGTGTTGAGGCGGCGCGACACATAAACGACCGTATATAAGCGAACAGACTGCACACAAAGGAAAATTAAACTAAAAACATGGATTAAATGAAAATTAAGCAGTTGATGAAATACCATGATAGCAGTCAAAGATATTATGGCTATGTCTACTATGGGTTTGATATAATATACGATAATTTCGGTGAAGCTACTGACATATTAGTGTTTTCATTGCTCTGTTATACCGACACAACGTGGAAAGTACCCATAGCCAACTTTTTGATTCAATTTGAATCAAAATCTGAGTTTGATCAGGTTTTCAAAAACTGGCCATAATTATATTTACTAATAAAATTATAATTTTACATAACAATAAATACCCTTCACTGCTGGCCGTATGAGGAAGCTCAAAGTCACTGAAATAAGGATATTCATAGTAGAACCAGAGAGCCCGACATAGCTCAACGGATTAGTAAGCTGAAGTGGCAATGGGTCGGTCATATAGTTGGTAGAATCGACAACTGATGGGGGGAAAAAGGTTCTCGAGTGGCAGCCTCGTACTGGTGGGCGTAGTGTAGGGCGACCCCCTACTAGATAGAATGACAACCTAGTAAGACCTAGTGTGTTTTGTGGCATTCCTTGGTGAGGCCTATGTTCAGCAGTGGACTTGTGAAGAGCTATGGATAATGAATGAAAAAATACTAAAAATCACTTTTACCAACGTTGAACGCTGAACTTATGCGGACTATGATGATTTATTTATCGATAAATAATATCGGCCTAGTGCTCGCCTTACGTTGCTTACGCATGTAGACAGCGGCATCAGTGTATCGACACGTGTACAACTTGATGATATGCGTAAATGCAATGAACACAAACACAAAAGCTCTAGTGTGTGTGTATAGTGACGCGATTCAATTTTGCATTTTGCATTTTTTCTTGCGCCCCCCTGACACTGACAGACTTTTTTGTATAGGAATTAAAGCGCATGGCCTCTCCAGTTAGTTTAATACTCAAAGGTTTAGAAGGTAGTTTAAACATGTGCTTGCGCAGCGATAGTTGTAACTAACTAAAGAGCGTCGCGCATCTCAATTTAAAATGGCCGTCTGCTTTCAACAATCAATCAGATGCCAAGGGTCTAAAAGTGTGTAAGTTCGTTCCTAAGAACAATCATTCTTTGCCGTTCTCTACTTGCGTTAAGTAAAATACCCTTTTATTATTATTATTCATTGACTTGACCGCGATATCATTATTACTTTTTGGATAGCTGATGTAATGGGTATGTTTTTTAAGTATGCTGTCAAAGTAATTTTTTGAAGAACGTAACATTTTATGATACATAAAGTGTAAAAAAAGAAAAAGAATAATTTATTAAGTGAATACCTTTTGTCCTTTTTTGAATGTATTCGCTTGGTCGAAGTTTCAAATAAATAAATCAACTTAAAAGAAGTCATTCAAAAAAGAATTTAATACGAAATTAAGGACAAATCTTTAAAATCCGTATATCTTAAGACCTGTTCATTTTCGGCCATACATATGAGGGTTTAAATGTATAGCATTTTTAATTCCCGTCACGCCCTGCCCGAAAGTTCTCGAGTTCCCAGTAACCCTGTATATATTAAGTGATAAATAAATTAGACAATATAGTAAATGATTTGGATACCTATTCGTTTTCTAAATCTGCTCTTTGCAATGTTGAGTTCCATTTGTATCCAAACCCTAGAACTTCCCTTAGGATTATAAGTCATAGCATCAGAGGCATATTGCACAATTTCTTTGAGTTTCTTTCATTAATTGTGAAAACGAAAGTGCCTGGGATATCTTAACTGAGTGTTGGCTGCAAATTGTTCGCACACTTCCTGTAGTTAACGGCTATAAGACATTTAGTACAGAAAACAACTACACACAAAATGATGGTGTTGTAAACAGTGATCTTATATTATGAATGAAAGAAATTTGCCTTCGTAACGCGAATTGTCTGTTTTTAAAGATAAATAGAGATTTTCTTATTTTAGATTTGTCGATTCTTGGATGAGTTCATGGATTCGTCGATTCTTGGAATCAAGGAGGAAGCTATACGAGGAAGTTGAGTCTCTGGCTCTCAGTGTAAGACTATACAAAATGCTATCGAAAGCTAAACTTAATCATTTCGGGCTTCTTAAGAAGCCTGATGGTAACTTCACTAATAGTGAAACAGAAACTTTGGAATTACTAGCGTCAACCCCTTTCCCAGTGTCACATAAGACTTCTGCCTTAAATCCTTTCAGAGTCCTACGGAGGTCTTGTAATGAGGACTGGTGTACGGCTGCAAAGATAAGTCCAAACCTGGTACAGTGGTTTGTTGACTTCTTTAAACCATTTAAAATAAGCGGGGAGGATGGAATAATTCCCATCCAACTACAGAGGGTGAAAATATTCAGAGCAAGTTTTATATGGGGATATATTTCGGCACGATGGACAGTTGTCAAAGTACTATTTATACCTAAAGCTAGTAGAAAGGACTACGCTTTAGCAAAATCATTTACACCTATAAGCATATCTTCCTTTCTTCTTAAGGCATTGGAAAAGATTATAAATAAATATATAAGGGATGTAGCTCTAGCTACGATGCCCAAACATTACAACCAACATGCTTATCGCAGAGGCAAATCTACGGAAATAGCCCTGATCAGTGTTATTGACAGGGTCGAAAAAGCACCGGAGGATAAAAAAATAGCTCTTTGTGCCATTCTAGATATTAAGGGCGCCTTCGACAGTAGCCCCACGTCACTGCTGATTGGGGGCCTGACATATAAAAATGTTGATCCCACAAACATCAGGTGGGTGGAGTCGATGCTCTCAAACAGAAAAGCAAAAATAGCCCTGTTTCAAACTTCGATTGAGGTACAACTACAAGAGGCTGTCCACAAGGAGGTGTTTTGTCACCCCTTTTTTGGACTCTTGCGGTCGATCAACCATTATACAAAATGGCTGACCTTCGTATTGACATACTTGGTTATGTTGATGTACTTGGTGATCATTGCGAGGGGATTTTGCCAAAGTAATTTATCGTTAATCATACAAAGAGTCCTAAACACCATAAATAACTGGTGTAGGGATAACAGTTTATCAGGTAATGCTGACAAAACTGTTAAAACAATCTTTACCAAAAAAGACAGTTGCACAAATTAGTCACAAAAAAACTCAATAATAAAGAAATAACATTTTCCCCTGAAGTTAAGTACTTGGGCGTAATAATCGACCAAAAACTAATGTGGAATTCTCACCTTAGCAACGTATGGCCTACGGCAAAATTGCTTCTGATACGCGCAGTCGTTTGGTCGGGAACAACTAGGGCTTGTGTCCCAGTATAGTCCTATGGCTGTACAGCAGCATAGTGAGGCTGATCCTTACCTACGCCTCCACTGTATGGTGCAACAAGGCCAACCAAAAGAACATTCTAAAACCTTAACCCGAGCTTTTGATCGTAAATTCGCTTCAGAAGCCCTAAGATTAAGCAAAAATATATTGCGCATTCTGGCAAGAGCTCTAACTGGACACAGTTGTCTTAAAAAACACATATCAGTCCTGGGAGTAAGCAACTCAAGGATAGGTTTTTTTCTGTTCCATAACGGAAGAAACGCCTCTGCACAACTGATTGCAATTGCAACTGATTGCGGACCCTTAATGCGCAAACGTAACACTCTATCTGGGAAACTATGTACTCCGCCCAGAAGAAGTGAAATTGCTCACGGCTAAGCAACTCCTATTCATTGAAGACATAGGGCTTAGCAGTGAACTATAGCCATAGCAGCGATCACAATAGATCTTTTAGGTCCCAGTGATACTGTCCTCTTTCCCTAGACCTGCATAGCTGCTCGCAAATAATTAAAAAAAGCACTAAAGTAATTATATTATTATAAAAAATACATACGTTATGTAACACGTAAATAATCTTGTTTTAGTAGTTCTAAAACATCATTTCCAACCATATTCACGATACCAGTAATTTAATAATTTAGTTATACTATTCATGCCTGTACACAGCGGTGTACAAAAAGTTTAAAATGTATATTCAGTAGAAATTCGATAACTAGAATTTCAAGGGAAATGCTAAAAACTTTGAGTTAATAAGTTTTCGAGCTAACAAGAATTTCTAGATACAAAGAATTTAATTGCTAAAATTTCGACTTATAAAGGCTTAATTCCTAAGTATGTTTTATCGAGTTTCAAGTAATAGTTAAATAAAAATTTGAATTAATTCGGAAAAATTGAATTAATTCGGAAAAATATCGGTCATTCGTATTGATCTGTCATATCTTTTTCCTTATGCCACTTTTTATCGCATTGATAACGGCACATTTTTCACGTAGAATTAAAGTCATTGGGTTCGGTTTAGTATTCATGATGCTGCTAGTTACATAAGTACTGACGGATAAAAAGGATTTAAGCGATGAGCCCAAACATAAACATACATAAAGTAGACAGATATATTATTTCGAAAGTTTAATTAATTCATTTATTAGTCTAATTTATCAGTTATTAGGATTCATTTATGTATTATAAGTAACAAAAATTATTTCAGGCAATTCTAATTTAGACATGATATTGTTATGTTCTTCTAACTTTTAGTTATAGTAGTATAGTGGTATGAGTAGTTTTAGTTTTAGCAATATTAGTAATAGAGCATAAATATGTACTATCAATACCTCACAAGTTCATAGAAAAATAACATTTTGTTTGAGTTATAAAGTTGAGTAATTCATATATTTCGATTTTGACTTACTGAGAATTACGACATATCGAGGTTCGAGTAATCGAGATTCCTGTTAGGACGTCTATTATCGTATATTATTTAACGAAATTACGAACGTCGCTCGCTGTACAAGCAATGGTGCAAGTAGATGCGAAGTGGAGCGGGCGGGGGCGTGGCATTAAATGCGATTCTCATCTTATTGTATTTATTTGGTTTTGTCTTAACTAGTAACTATAGTTAGTGTTAGTAGTATGTTCAATTAAGGAAACAGCAATTTGAAGAACTGCATCATGGGTAACTCGATGAGAAGATGCAGCGGCAGGGATGTTACATAAGTCATGATTACAGTATTGAACCAGTGTCCACCCTGCAAACAAATGAATTAAGTATTATTTTTAGGTAATTTTATACTATCGCGGTCCCCTCGTTTTTTGGCTCTAGAAAATCAAAAAATCAACCGATTTCGATGATTTTTTAAATCTTCGTTTATACGTCAGATTTACGAAAAAAATACAAGAAAAAAATTAAAACTTATATTAGTATCAGGGCTTTAAATGTTCATAAAATGCACTCATTCACGTTGATAATTTTTTATATTTTAAGTTGATAAGTTGTAATATTTCTTTCATAATCTACACAAAAAATGAACATTTAAAAAAGCATTGAAAAATATTTGTTTATTAATTATTTATTTCGGTGTTTTATTGAGTGTAAGATCGAGCGAAGCGAACAAAAACCCCGCCATCTCCTTCGTGGTTATTATTTAACAAATCACTGAGAACTCGCGAAGCGGGGCTCCGTCCACCGGGCTTCCCTTGACTGCGCTACGGGAGAGACTTGGGGGTGGGAAGCACCATGTGACTCAATGTAGCGCAGTCGAGGGAAGCCCGGTCGACGGAGCCCCGCTTAGGCTCCTATTTCTTAGTGCTATATAAGAAAATAACCACGAAGGATGAAGATGTTGGGGTCTATTCGGGGACGATTATATTCGAATAAGTGCGTTTATGATCTCATTTAAAGTCATAAAACTATATGAAATCTTCGGGTGAGATATTTTCCATATTTTTTTCATAAATCCACCATAAAAAAGAAGATTTAAAAAAAATAATCGAAATCGGATGGTTTTTCGATTTTCTAGAGCCTAAAAATGAGAGAACCGCGAAAGTACAAAATTAAAATTTTTTTAATTAAATTAATTAAATTTTTGATTATTATTTATTATCAGGCCGTAAAAGCCTCTACTGTCGATGATAATAAAGATAGTGATAATGATGTATGTATGTTATATTATATTTGTTATTAAATTTGAGTATAGAGGACATGTCTTTAAGGCTTTCTACCGGTTATAGGAATAGATCAAATCTCAAGCGTTTATAAATTTAAATATGTGAATTTTTTATAGAATAAGGGTGACAAACGAGTACAAACGTGTACACAGTCCACGTGATGACTGGGGCCCATGGCCCATCTAAATCTATTTCCGATTATGTATAAAAATACAGATGGCTTGTCACCCCTGACACAGAATAAATAATAGTACTACATACAGAAGTTGCCCCTTGATGTTGACTACTTGTTAATTTATTAGCCTAAATGATTATTAATAATTAGGTTCATTATACCGCGTAGTGGCGGTGTAAGAATATCTACTATCCTATATCGTCCCTTGGGTGTCGTATGAGGTAACAGAGGGAAATTGAAACAGGTGATGGGCAGTAGTATTTTCCTGATAGCAACTTAAAATAATAAAAAAAAAAACAATCTATGGAAGGGGGTCCATGTAGGAGTGAACTTTTATGGGCTGTAATTGATGAATGGATGGAGATACATCACGCAAGCAAGCAAAATTAAACTTTATCTCTGAGTGCGAAAGCCCTTGTCTATTTTTCCCTTCCGAAATCGGGTAGGAAGGTCACAGACGATATTTGGTGGTTATCTAGGACTTATTACAAAGAAAAAAAATACACCACTTATAAGTACAGTATACATTTTATTAACAGTATACCTTTGAATTATTTATTTAATTTACAACTGTTTTATTTTAATGGTAAAAATATGAGATATTAAATACCTCTTATTTTGACCGTCTCTTAAAAAACGGTTATAAAATATAAGAGTGGAAAAACTCTAAATTTGAAGTATAATTTTAGTGAATACTTAAAAGAAAATCATGGATACAGAGGGATAACATTAATATTCTTTAATAGTTTAGTAAATTTTTTGCTGGTTTTTCTTTATATTACGTGTTCAAAATTGTTAATTAATGTATTTTATAGAACATACATATATGTAAATATACATATAAACTGCACTAACACTAACACATATGCAAAAATTAGGTCCAACAACTAAATACACTAAATCATAAACAAAAAAATTTATACTAGTAATTACAAAAAAAAATCTATTGTTGTAAACAGTGTCAAAATCTTTGAAATTCACAAGACGTCGCTCGCTTAAAACCCGCCAGCTTTGACTGCATAAGTTATATAAGTGCATAAGAGGTTCCATGCGATTATAGATATAATTACAACAAGCGGGTAGCAAGAGTGACAGGCCTGCCCTGAGGACTAAGATGGAATGCCTCGGTTCCAGTAAAAGGTGTCTCCGGTTGTCTACACTCACCATACGAAACACAGCAGCATTGAGCTATTTCACGCTGGTATTTTGGAAGAGCATTTTCCTTTCCCGGTCAAGCCGACCTATTCGTGCTACAACCATAAAGCTGCAGTATTTCTCTACCAGGTGTAAAACTTAGTTCCACTTCTTTGCTACCCCCAGGACTTCAACAATATTTATTTTAATTATTTCTTAAATTTACGCGAACACTCCACATTGATTAAAACTACTTTTCTTACGGATTTTATCGAGTTTAACATATTTTATTTTAGATACCCGGCGTTTCAGGTGCTTTCCAGCACCCATGGTCACATACGTCACGTGAGTATTAAAAATAATCCCGTGGTAATTAAAATAAAATAAAATAAACGCGATAAAATCTGAAGAAAAGTAGTTTTATCAAGGTGTAGTGTTTCCTATTTACGAGGCTCTGATCTGAGTATTTATGACAAAAAGTTTATAAAATAGCCTAGCGACAACTGATGCTGGTGTGAAAAAAAAGACACACGCTCGGATACATATACTATACAAAAATAATGTTTACAAGTTTGTATAGCTAAGAAGTTTACACTTCTGACGTGCAGACTTACAACTGACAGTTTTTTATTATCCCTATTTACCTCTTGAAATTAAAACCTAGAAGCAAAATTTAACTTTGTATACAGTACGTTTACAAGTATGCCAGCACAATATCTGTGCTGTTTTGAATTATAAGGTAAATTATATTCAGAAAGATAAAATTCCATGAGAATTCTATTTGGCTAACTCTGGCTCGGATAAGTAAAGAGAAGTTATATCAGAATTATAGTGTATAAAATATAATTACTTACTATTTCGAATACAGAGCTTCGTGTAAGGTTCGTCTTCACAGCAATTTGTGTAAGATTATAGCTCCAATGCACGAGCAGAATGGGTAACGACATGCGACTGAGTGGTCGCCAGCCATCCCACGACAGAAACCGCAACCATAGACCTAGGTGAAATATTAGTATGTTTCTTTATAAATATTTTTGACTTTCCGCCAGAAAATTCAATAATTTTCAAATAATCGGGAAGTTATTGTTTTCACCATGGTTTTTCAAAAACAAAAAAAAACAAAGTTCTCATCAGATCTCGATGTTTTGAGGTCCTAGGAAGCTATTCTAGCTATTTTTGCCTGTCCTGTGTGTGTGTGTGTGTGTGTGTGTGTGTGTGTGCGTGCGCGCGCGCGTGTGTGTGTGTGTGTGTGTGTGTGTGTGTGTGTGTGTGTGTGGTGTGTGTGTGTGTGTGTGTGTGTGTTTGTATGTGTGTGTGTGTGTGTGTGTTTGTATATGTGTGTGTGTGTGTGTTTGTGTCTGTGTGTGTGTGGGTGTGTGTGTGTGTGTGTGTGTGTGCCGAATAGAAAAAATTACGTGGACTACCGTTGACCGCATCAAAACCAGTTGATTGATTCGTTTGAGAGATATCGAAATCTCGTTGTAGAAATTTGTGAATTAACTCCTGTATATATTTGTGCCATTATAAGTTCCATGTTAAGCAACCATCAACATACATACCAAGGTTCTCCAGTCTTCACATTGGAAGAGAATGGTATGAAATTATTATTAAAGATAAACGATTGTAGGGTGGAAATATCTAATTTAGATAATAATCTTGGGCCACCTAGAATTATCATTTGAAATTTAGACGGGTTCAAATATATGCGCATACTCAGTTGACTATTAAGAGATGTATTTCAAGTCATCATTTAATAATGAGATATCATTAAAGATAGTTGGGAGTACTACTTGTAACTGCAGATCATCAGCATATAGATGGTAAGAGCACTTAAGATTTAATGTGATTGGATTGATAAAAATAGAAAACAGAAGAGGAGAGATAATACCGCCTTGAGGGATGCCAGTCCATCATAGCAGTCAGCTAGTTTATGTACAGTACACACGATCTGTTGACGCCCTCGAAGATATGATGAATACCATTCATGAGCTGAAGATAATATCCAATAGTATCCAAATGAAAAAGAAGACAAACAGAATTAAATGCGTTAGAAAAATTTACTAAGAGGAGAACAGTCAGTTTGGATTTTTCCATCCCCTCTCGGATATCTTCAGTTACTTTGAGAAGATCAGTAGTTATAGAATGTCTAGAGAGAGAACACAACTGATAAGGGGAACGAATATTCATTGAGAAAACAAAAGAATACATCTATTTATAATCAACAGCTTCCGGAACCTTAAAGAGAAAAGGTAGGATAAAATAGGTCTGAAATTAAATATAGCCCTGCAATCGGTGGATTAAAAAGTGGGAATAATAAAGGCTTTACGCCATAAAGTTGGTAAGGCACCATTCGTCAGGGAAAAGTTAATGATGTGAGTTATCACGTGTAAAACAGTCTCCAATACGTGCAAAACAAGCCATTGCGCTACTTAATCACAGCCAATGGCTTTCTATTTAAAAGAAGAAAGTGCGTACCTCGTTTTCACCTAAAGGAGAAAAAGTGAGCAGCTCTCTCCATCTGATTACATCGGTTCATTGCGGCTTTATATGGTTACCACTTTATATCAGTGCAATTCTTCTTGAAAGCCGAAACATTCTATCGTATTTTGCCATAGCCATTTTAACACTAATTATAATCCATGGAACAGGCGTACACTTGACACAAATGAAACGTTTAGGACCATGTTTATTATACATTCCTAATATGTTCTTATTAAAGAAGTCGATTTTTCATCAACTGTGTAAGCGGCATATGCAATCAATAGCATCCACATTACACTTAAGCTTGTCTATATCTAGTCTAGCAAAACTTCAAATAGAGATATACACGGATGAAGCAAGCCTTTAATATATAATGAAAATTTCAGAAGCAGGGAATTGTCTATAACTGACAACGTGTTCAACAGAGAAGACAGTTATAAAGTCTATCCAGGTGTTTGCAGAGTCGAAATTGTGATGTGTTGCGTTTAGAGGAAAAATAATGAAATCATGCGAAATCATGGTCGAGACTTGAGAGAAACTCCTAATAGGTGATAATGCGATGTGAGTAGGCAGAAATAATTGCTTCCAAACCGGAGAAGTAGTCCATTTAAGGTAGACAGCAGATAACTCCTAGAAACACTAAACACTCTTGGCATTAACTTCGACAAAAATGTATTCCATTGAACCAGAATATAGGGAAGAAGATGTGTTTGATATTTTATAGAGAAAATCACTACGAAGAAAGTTAGCGACACCTCCGTCTCTTTTATTAGTACGTTAGTTACGGAGAAAAATACAATCTGGAAGAGTATAAGACGTAAAAGAAAGTTCTGGTTTCAGCCAGATTTAAATGAATGAAATGCAGATCATGAATACACTAGAAGAAAAAATATGCTGTTGAGGAATTCTTTGTGTATTTAAATGACAATCCTCGTAGGAATAGTCAGAATAGCTTTCTAAGACGTCAAAATGTCGAGATCTGATGAAAAGTGATCAAAATCATAGCGTCCGGTCTCCCGCCATCGTCTCTAAATATTCTACATTCTTCAGAGAACTGTGACGGGACTTTTTTTGACTATTTTTTTATTGAACTACTAGCAATCCTATGAACATTACTAATATTCCATTTAACCACTCATACTTGTGTTAGGAGTGGTTCACGACAGACGTCGAATGGTGGATTCGAACTCACGACCTTTGGATTTCGCGGTCCGCACCCGCACGCACTATTAGGCTATTACAATTCACTAGCATTTTTCTTACATGAAAGCCCGTTGACGCCGCTGTCACAAGGGTACTAATGATGTTGACAGATCACTCTTCGTAGGATCCGGCTTAGCGCAAGATTTCCCCGTCAAGTAATAGGCCAAGTCAAGATTCTGCTGTAGTTTATGTAGTTTATGAGTTATAAGAAAATGACCATATTATCCGGATGACCATATTACCCTGACGTACTATATTATCATTTAACCGTCTAATTACATAATTGGTAAAATGAACTTTACCGTCGATTTTGTTTATAAATCCGAGCATAGCTACGACGATAATTAGACAGAACACTGGTCGGTCGAGGGCTGCGTACGCAGCAATGCCGATTGGTGAACTGATGTCCTTCACAAGGTATCCTGCTAGTATCCAACTTAATAGCGATGGTACGGAGCATCGATACAGGATACGGAAGACCTATGAAAAATAATTAAAGATAAATGAGGTGTTTGATCACCATACAAAATAAAAAAAGCTCTCTAAATTTTGCTACCAGATCTCAAAAATAAATTATTGATGTACTTAGTATTACATGATTGAATACTAGCATTTCACCCTACTGTGTTACCCGCGTCCACGTTTGCAGAGTCCAGATCGCATTAGCTATCACATGAAATCTTTCTCATATTTTCAAATGTCAAAATATAATAAAAACATGTCAGAATTTTCTCTATTTTTACCATCTTAAGGGTGAAATTGTCAAAAATACTGAAACACGTGTTTCTTAGTTCTTAATAAAGCCTAAACACAAATGTGTGAATAGGGACAGATTTTGTAAAGCTTAAAAATATGTAGGTATTTTCTACTACCATAATTTCGTTTAAGTGTATTCTCATCACCATGCAAGTAAGAAAGCTATTTTCCCTACGCAAACATTGTCTATACTAATATAATAAAGCAGAAAAGTTTTGTTTGTTTAAACACGCTAATCTCTGGAACTACCAATCTGATTTGAAAAATTATGTTAAATTATTTGTATAATATAGCCAGATTCATGATAAATAGTACAGACTATCTAGCATTAGGCTGCACCTATCAGTTGGTATCAAGTGCAATTTTGGTTCATGCCAAGCGTATCACAGCTGTTGTTAGTGCATGTAATGGCAAATCGAGTAGCCCAGATTCAAAACGAGTTGTAACGCAAAACTTCTATTATGTGCCCGGAGCAGAAAATCCTGCGCAAAATCCTGGTGCAAATTATAGAGCACCCGTTTTGGTTTCAAGGACTTTCTTGGATTCAGTTAGGACCCTCGCAATCAATCGTATAAAATAGAAATCCGTAATCGGATAGAAAGTAGCCTTTAAGTTGCCCCGGGTCCCTAACTACCTACGCACGAAATTTCATGGAAATCGGTTCTGTAGTTTTTGCGTGAATCATGAATACACCGACATAATACACAGACAAAAATTCTAAAAATGATGGATTCTTACTAAATTCTCTTCGGGCTTGAAATTGACCTGCTGCCAATAGTAAAGAAGGAAGGCAGCAATGAGCCCGATCAATGAGGAAGGTAGGCTGCCCCATGGAGCCATATACAACAAGTTGAAAGAGGGCTCACCAGCCATCTGGTTTCGTAGCTGTCTGTAAAGAAAAAAAAGTATATTTAATTTTTATAACACGTTTGCTGCATTCATGCTCTGTAAGATCTGTAATCTATTGACACCAATCTGTAGAGATGAAATTGGTCAATATCACAAAGTACTTTTTATATGCCTACTGGAAGATATTAAATTTTATAGCCGTATATTTGGGGCGTACGAAAATCTATAAGAATTTGTAAAGAAAGAGTTATCAATATTTAATGTTAATACAATGTCTGACGCAAGTTTGTGGATTTTGTAAAATCTATCACCTTATTTTGTCAAGTGGGTGGTGTAAAAGGTGAGTGAGATAGAATTGCTACTCGTATATTATCATGATTGTGTATTAACAATTGTCTTGGTCAAATGAAGGGTGTGATTAAAGTTAGGTAATTAGTAATCTTTAAGTATCTGCAATATTTCTACATACAAGGCCTATAAATACTGGCCTTGCTAGCCTGTAACAGGGCAAGTAAGTGTGGCGTCAAAATTGATAGTACTTATATAAACAGAACAACATAAACTCCTACAGACTCTACACGCTACAAGTGTGTTTATTCATTTCACGTGATATTACTTGGATCAAAACAGTTTTTATAACTTGGATCTTGATGGCAGCCAGGAAACGACTTCGAGTTACGTTTTGTTGTAAGAAATAAGAAAATTTTGTGCTAGCGGCCTGCCCCTGAAAAATTATTGAGAATAAAAAATTTACAATGAAATATAATATTTTTACGGATGTTATCGTGTTTAATTTTACTCATTTTTAACTCCTCACGCTGTAAATCACCCGAAACGTTGGGAATAAAAATATTTTATGTTTTAGATCACTGACGAAACAACCTTTGAATCTCAATGACATAGTTGATGCATTACACAATATACGATCTACCCAGTGAAATTACCATTTTTCCACCGGAAGATCCAATTAACGAAATAACAGACGAAGATTCTGGTGATGAAGAATTTGTGACATTACATAATCTCTCAGGTTTGGTTATTTCTTTTAATCATATTACGAAATTCATTTCAGTCACTGAACTCACAATCAATTGTATAATGTATTTATTACTTTTCAGGTTCCCATCTAAGAGCTCTAGCAGTGATTACTTATGATGATACGTTTTCAGACAGTGACGATTCTGAAAATGATTTATCTTTGTCTGTGTTAGCAAAAAGAATACGCAATGCCAATGAATGCTTGCCAGAAGATTTGGATTAATAGATATCTTCTACTTCTTGCTCCACTCTATCTATAAGCTGGTCATCGAGGAAAGTCACTCTTAGTGAAAGCAAAACCCAACAGTATACGTGGCGCAACAGGCACAATTCAAGTGAATTTACACAGTGGCAGGATCGTGAGGGCCCAAAAAATCTACAGTCACCTTTGTACTACTATGAGTGTATGGTGATTGATGAAGTAATCGAAATTTTGGTACATTACTCTAATCTTTACGCAAGCCAAAGGAATGTCATCGCTAATATAACTACTTCAGAAATGAAGTGTTTTTGGGTATACTTTTATACAGTGGTTACGTCGTTGTACTACGCATGTATATGTATTGGGAGAAATCTTCTGATACTCACTTTGATGTTGTTTATAATGCCATGTCTAGGGATCGTTTCACAATGATAATGAAACACTTACATTGCTGTGACAACAATGTCATTCGTACTAGATAATGATAAATTTGCGAAACTTAGGCCTTTGTTTGATTTACTAAATAAAATTTTATCAGACATGGCACCTTTTGAACAAAACTATAGTATTTACGAAGCTATGGTACCATACTATGGAGGCCATAGTTGCAAACAATTTATACGCGGGAAACCAATCCGATGGTAAATAAACTGTGGGTAGGTTCAATTAGGTTGGGGTATGTTTTTTGATTTGATCCATACCAGGGACATTCTTCAAATATCCCAGCATGCTATAAACAATTTGGATTAGGGGCAAGTGTAATTTTGAGCTTTGCTGATGTTTTACAACCGTGCTACCCAAACACTCAATTTCATTTATTTTTGAAAACTTTTTTTCTTCCATCCCTCTTTTTCACGAATTGAGTAATAGAGGATTGAAAGCTACAGAAACTATTCGTGAGAATTGTACCTCTAGATGCCTACTACCTGAAAACAAGGTTTTTAAAAAACAGAAAGGGGCACATTCATCTTTAAGTCTAGTCAACCCAAGCAGATCTTAGTCTGCAAATGGAATGACAATAGTGTCGTAAGTGTCGCCTCTAATGCGGAAACAATTGAGCCGCTTCACAAAGCCAAGCGATTTTCTCAACAATTGGAAAGATATGTGTTTATTGATCAACCTGCTATCATAAAATCATACAACGAAAATATGGGCAGAGTCAAAAGAACTGACCAAAATATTGGCTTATATAGAACTTCGATCCGGGGAAAAAAATGGTATTTTTCGTTATTTTTCCATAGCTTCGATATGGCTACCCACAATGCCTGGCAGTTGTACAAAAGTGATGGTGGCGAATACGACCACTTAACTTTTCGTAGAGTAGTTGTCAGAGGATTATTGGAGACGTATAAAAGAACTGAAAAACGGGGACCTTGCCGTACTCCCAGCAACTATAGAGTAACCTCGCGATACGATCGCATTGATCATCCAATTGAATACGAAGAGTCTCAAAGCCGCTGCAATATTTGTAAAAAAAAAAATTCATTTGTTGTAAATGTCAGCCGTATTTACACCCAAAAATATGTTTTATTTCCTATTATACCAAAGTTTAGATTCTTGGCAAATAAACCATAGCATATGTTTTGTGTTTTATTTAATTCCATAAATGTTTTACTTATAGTAGCCGCTCTTACTACCGGACGTTATAACGCCACTCGTTTTCCGGCTTTTCCGGACCACGATTATTTTTTTAAATATTTTTTCATGAATACTACTACGTTTTGGTAACATATTAAAAAATCAGTTAATTCTGAAACAAAAAAAGTTTCAGTAATATCTGGGTTAATAAAAATCAAAATCAAAACTAGTACTGGAAGTAAACTAAAAAAATAAAGCCATAATCAATTTACAATATAATATTATAAACAATTGTTATAAAAACGTTTACAAGCAGCATGATAGCGATCACCTCATTCACAGAGGATATTATCAATCATGTACCCTTTATAAGTAATATAATAACTCCTCTTCCTAAACAACTTTTGTTTTATAAATATTTTAAACCTTTTGATAGATAAGTTCTGCATATTTTCCGGGACTTTGTTGTAAAAGCGAATGCGAATGATACAACTAACTTGTGCTTGTACCTAGTATTTACAGTATGTACATCAGTATTTACAGTATGTACATAGTTTTTTAATAAAACATCTTTTTTTTGTACGAGTAGTATAAAATTTTCGTAAAAATGTTCTCGAAAGTATTCCTTTGGTCGTAAGTTATAAATTGCTGGTAGTCACTTACCATTAAGTGAGCCATGCTAATTTGCCCCCTCTCCAAAAAAAAAATTCAATGTCAGTCGCATTACCCTATAGCAAGATTTCATATGACATTATGGAGTGAAAATAAATAAAATACTACTACCAATCTAGCTATTTCTACACGTGTAACGCTTCTGATCTTTCTTACAGTGTATGCTGCAGAACTAAGTTTACTAGTTAGTTAAGATATATATATATATATATATATATATATATATATATATATATATATATATATATATATATTACCCATTGAAGCTTCGTGGCAACTGTAATTCCGAGGTAAACAATTAATTGAACAAGGCTCGGCTCCGCTCCATTTAAAAGCACACTGGTATCCATCTGTTTTACATTCGGTGTGGTGAATTTAATACATTTCGTTTTATTACTGTTCAAAGGCAAATTATTGAGGTAAAACCAGTGTACTAGTTTTTATATGGCATTATTCACTTCGTCATATTTCGATAATTGCCTTTTAAGTCGGAAAACCAACGCAGTATCATCATCGAATAAAACTATACCATTGTTATGCCCTTCCAAATATTATGGTAAGTCATTAATGTAAACTAAAACAGGAACGTGCCAAGGAGCTCTGAGGAATACCCATAGATGGTACCGATCCGGAAAATCTGCTCCCATAAAAAAAAAACTGTTGGCGTTCTTTTATTTAGATATGATAAGTTTATTAAGATAAGCTTGAGTAGTATGTTTTTTGTATATAAATAACAACTATTATAAGCCTTGACAGTTTACGAGATACGCCATAAAAGGTTTCCTGTAAATACTTACTTGGGATAATTGAGGAAGAGCATTGGTTTCAAGTTCCAGTTGTAGGCTATAGTGAAATTAGCAACGATCGCGCAAACGAGAAGGCAGCTTAGGACCTTGACAGCTCTGCGCGGTGACCGGCCCAAGGTGAGAGTCAGAAAGCCCGCAAATACATAAAGTTGCATGTCCACCGCGAGAAACCTAGAGTGAGCCAAAAGTTTAATGCGACCATTTTAATTGATATTGAGGTTAAAGCCCTGGCATTAAGACTATAAATTTTCCTATGTAAACATTTTGATTATATAATTCAAATAAACAAAATGAGCTGTGTTTTTAAAAAAAATTTTCATCTTAAAGAAAAAATTATATGGTAGTTTATAAATTACCACTGTTGAAACAAAGCTTTCTTCAGAGATTTCGATGATTTAAAAAAAAAAGGCTGTAAGCGATGCTTTTGTATAAAACAAGTATTCAATAAACAAAATTATGATATAGATATTTACTTTTACTTTCTAGCTTTTTCTTAACATAAAAATATTTTTTGTTGAAAAATGGATATAAAATTAATTATTGAGTTTTTCCGTCAAGAAATTCTCAGTAGTTGCCCGGAGTCAGGAAGTTGGCGGTGTTTCACCCCCGTGCCTCGGAAAGGTCCTGCGCCTGATCTCTCTCCGGTCGTGTCGGTTTACCGTCCCATCGGATTATGAGAGTGAGGGAATAGAGAGTGCACCTGTGCTTGCACATACACTTAGGCACTATAATCATGTCCTGAGCCGATGGCTAGCCTCGGTTGAGGCAGGCCGCCGTGGCCGAAATTTGGTATGGAGGATATTATTATTATTATTAATAATAATAGGCGATGAAAACTTAGCTTTAGTCGGCAGTTGATTTCTAATTTAATTTAGTGCCATATTATTTTCTAAAAGTGTATGTTGTAGGCCCTGTGGCCATCAGTGTACACTTTTGGAACAGCTTCATCAAAATAGATTCATAAGCGAGGACTTGTGAGATATTGAGTGCAATGATTTTGCCGACGTCGACTGCTAGATTCATAAGCGAGGACTTGTGAGCTGACAACTGACTGTTTACTCGACTGCAGTCCCGAAGGCTTCTTGAGCTAGAGGGGGACTAGATGTAATAAGGCCACGAACACAAGGAGGTACGAATAGAAGAAGGTACGAACCTCGGCTCAAACCACTATCGGAATGAGGGACGGGTTGTAAAACTAAAACGCACCGTATCACGGCTATTGCAACTCGTGTACGGCGTACGTCTTTGAGCACGCATTCGCCGGCGAACGCGGTGTGCCAGTATTCTGTTGTGTAGTTGCGACAATTTTTAGAGATTATTTTTCTGATACAAATTGCTAATGAGAAATAAAAAGTAGTTTCTGTTCATAACTTGTTTATAAAATTGACGTAAAAATAGTTAACAGTAGTAGAAGTAGTTACCATGTATGTATCAGGCACTTTTCGTCCGCTTCAATGAAGTTGTTGATATACAGGAAATGCGCCCACCACTTATCCCTGCAGTGTGCACACTCCCCCTCCACCAATGGTATCCATAGAGCGCCGTCGCTCATATGTCGCCACCAAGTTGTCGTTAAACCAACCATAAAAACATTTAATGGTGTAATTCTGTGAAACAATTTAATTATAATTATATCCAAAAATTTGTTAACACGTAAAGGATTAGGAAGAAACTGTTAGTGGCAGATCTCGAATCATCATCATCATTCCTTCACAAGTCCACTGCTGAACAAAGGCCTCGCTCTAGGAATACCATAAAGCACGGTCCTGAGCTAACTGCATCCATCGACTTCCTGCATGTGTTACCAGGTCATTATTCCATTTAGTGGGGAAGCCTTTGGGAACCAATGAGGATAAAGGGAGGGTTTTGGAGGAATGCATGGCCCTAGAAATATCCTTGTACATTTCCTCCACCACCTCATTGGGATGTGGCGATGTTGGTGCGATTCCGAGTGTAAGGTACGCAACCCTCGTCGACCACTCCCAATCTTAACAACGATGCTAACGAAAGACTTGTGGACGATAAATCCGACATCTACTTGGGACAGATGGTCGCTCTCCCGGTGACAGAAGAAGTTGTCGTATTAGAGGATTACCGTGTCTTCCCTGTCTTTTCGGATCTGATATAATGCTATAATATCACCTGGCAAATTGTCTATCTTTACTTTCAGCTCCAGGACCTTCTCGTCAGTCCGTTTATTTGTATAGTTGGGGGGGGGGGGATATTTGCCATAGTTTGCTACGCTTGGCTACCGCAGCTTTTTATTGTAATTTTGCTGTTATCCTCCTTCTGGCTCGAAATCTGAGATCGGGCTCTCACTCTGATGTCTTTTACGACACTCACAGGAAGATATAGGGTAGTGAATATTCTTACACCACTACTATACAGGGTGGAGATCTCTTAAATTTACAACTTTCTGTCATCGGTATTTACTATAGTCAGATTTATTTCATCAGGACATTTTTTATAGGATGGGGTGACAAATGAGCATACAGTCCACCTGATGGTAAGTGGTTACTGTGGCCCCAGACATCTATCCTTGATTACGAATCAAAATGCAGATGCGTTGTCACCCGTGAGGACTAAGATGGAATGCCTTGTTTCCAGCAAAACGGTCTCCGGTTCTCTACATTCACCATACGAAACACACCAACGTTAAGCTGCTATTTTACGCTGGTATTCTGTGAGAGCGTGGGCCTTCCCCGGTCGAGCCGACCCATTTGTGCTACAACTATACTACTAATATAACTGCAGCATGGCTCCACTACGTATAAAATATCCTTAATTATTGTCAGAAATCTTGTGTAAGCTTGTGTACTTAGCGCTTGCCGTAAATTGTGTAGTTCATGACCAAGCCAGTTCGATCACTGTCACCAAAATTAAAGTTGTTTAAATTTCAATTGTAACTGCTGATTAACAATGTGCTTGACTGTGAAGGTAAACCCCGCATAGAAACATATATATCTGAGAAATAAATATTTTAGCTAAATATTCGAAATACGACGCATTTAACACGGTGAGTGCTCTGAGGAATTGTTCAGATTAGTTAAAGTCGCCAAATTTTACCAACGTTAATCACGACATATCGAACGTCACCATTCACATTATCTAGATGTTTGGCAGTCCATTACTGTGTTTAATTGGAGTTGTATTTCTCGCATGACTACTTTGTGAGATCATTTACCACCGGCAATTTTTCCGGATCGATACGACTAAGAGACTTTCAAGAAACGCACTTACGCCTTTTTAAAAGGCTGGAAATGCACTTGCAATTCCCCTGGTGTTGTAATTGTTCGTGAGCAGCGGTCGACACTTACCATCAGACATATAGTGTATAACTTTACCTTTTTACTTTTTAATTGTTTTTGTCCCATCAACAAATAGATCTTATCAAGGATGCATTACTGGCTTGCATAACTTGAAAGTTTTACCTGTTTCATTTCAAATAACATACTGGCCGTGCTGTCATAGCGAGTTGGTAAAGATTCCTGTAACTTATTAAGTTTTTATAGCTTAAATTGTCATCCTTAGTTAAATACATCTAAATACACAAACTTTCTAATTATTTAGACGTATAGAAGTGGATGAAAGTTGTTTTAATAAAATTATTACATTTGTAATATTATTGTAACATATAAAATATTGCGAATTAGTAACTAACCTTGCCATACGATTAAAGAAAAGACGTGGTAGTAAGCGAAGGTTAAGGCCCTTCTTTGGGTCTTTTTCACCGCTGATCAACAGGTTGTAGGCGAGGAGAAAACTGGACAGCACGATGAATGTTTGTACGATCACAGGTCCGTTATAAATAAGCGTGCTTAATAGATTTCGACTTGTCTGTTCGTAAAAATTACTAATTGTAGTATCATCGAAAACAGCGTGTGATAAATTAATTTATGATATTTACTGGTGGTAGACTCCTTTTCGATCTAGGAGTCGCAAAATAGAACTGCCTACACAACTGTATTTAAGACTGAAGGGTGTAGAACCAGCATGGCTACAGGTTGTGACACTTTCCATTTTAGCCCTCAGTGGTGACAATGAGTTTGTAGTCTTCTTCGTTCTCAGATCCAATCAGGTGGACTTTAGGTTTTTCTCACTTTAATTTTATACAAAAATATTGATAAGAGAATAGCTTTAAGGCTAGAGAACTGCGACGTCAACCCATACCTTTTACGGAACATATTATATATAATAATATATAATGGAAGAATATATATATATATATATATTATATATTTTTTTTTTTACATATTTTTATTAAATATACATATTTTCAAATACGGTAATCCACGGGCTTTGCAATCGTTATTTAATTCATGATTCGTAACCAACTGTTCAGGCGCTGGCGCAGCTGACTTTGCTGAACATAATTTGAGTTCTGCTTTACCAGACACTCGTCGATTATGAAATCATCGCAAAGAAATATGTAAAAGAAATCAATAATATTTCAAAAACATGTGTCTGCCTAAGCGCAGCGTGTCACATTCCAGTATCTTTACCCCTCCAAAAAAGTGTTCTAAACTGTAAGGTGTATGAGGTTATAGAAAATCGACAAAATCGCTATTTATAAACATACTGTTAATTCTTCCCATTTCTACAGCTAAACAATACGTCTGTTTTTGGTTCGTATTGGAGAGTATAACGTGCCAGTATTGTTATGTACACTTAAGACCTGGCAAACACTCACCTGGGTAACCTTTGAGCTGTTCTGCGATTATGGGGCCCGGTATGAGGTGGATTCTGGCCAAATGTGTCCACTATTTTTCTTTTTCCACAGATCAGGTACAGAAAACTGCCTTAGTATTACGATGAAGCAGGGAAATGAGATCTTGTCTGCTGCCAGTAACGGAGCGCGTACGTAATGTGTACCGTCAAAGGCGTTAATGCTTGTGTTCACGAAGAAGTAGGCCGTTACTAGTGGTCGTTGTGGGTGTGGTTCAAAAATGGTTGCTCGCTTCAAGTTAAAAAGTGCTTGCCAGTAAGAAAAAATATTTATTTGAAACATTTTACGTAAGATGAAATGTTTTCCTTTCAAATGGCACTATTTTTAATTGTAAGAATTATACCCAAACGTTAATGAAAAATATAAAAAATAATATAATATCATGTATGTAACAAGTATAATTGCAGGCTAAGTGCCTGGTTTTCCACCTTAGTTAAACTTCAGTTTGTAAGAAACTTATTTTTAAATTTTTGTATTATTACCTACCTGTATTATAGCTGTGTTATTGTAATCATTGTCTTTTGATGTAATTTAAACTGGTTCCGACAAAAACACACATTTGCATTTGTGTTAATTTGTTAGTTAAAATTAGCCGGTGCAGTCTCCCTTCTCACTTCCGATCCCTTCCTGCACGGGCATGCCCGATATGGGGGTAGACATGGTGGCGTCATGGTTTGGTCTAATGAGAGGGATCCGTAAAAAGTGAAAGGCTGCAAGCACGCCGCTGGCGCAGATCAGCAGTAATCGATGTGCGCTACCGCCACTTGACCAGTAGGAGTGCAATCTTGGCCCTGACAGCACCCTGTGACAGTCAAGCCACAGGACAGTACAAAACCTTAGTCGTGACCGCTTGCATAGTGCAGTTTTGTTGTGCACTAGTGTAATTCTTCGTGGCGTTCAGTCAACCCCAGTGCTTTTGCCGTCACGCACCACCGCAGTTGCACCGTAGTTCCACCGCCTCGAGGCCTTAGAAGGGAGGCCGCTTGCAGACACCCCATGTAAGCCCGTTGTTGTTTTTATTTGTTATACCTTTTTCCCATAGCAGCTCATGCTCTTGTTGTGCCGGCTAACGCATTAAATTAGATTATTGCAAGTATATTTACCAAAACCCGCCACATGCCACATCCGCCATTTTCGCTTTTGAATATAACGAACTACGCATATATACTTTAGTTATTAGCACACCCAATAATTTGGGGTTATTATTCCCGGAATCGAACCAGGGCCAAACCATTTTGTGGTTACTTCGCTTCGGATTTGAATGTGCAATCTAGTCCGTCACCATTTTGTGGTCATAGGATGAACTCAGTCAGAACCCTATGGCCCCATCATATTTGTGACCCTTCGTTCCGGACTTAAATTAGCATCTATTAGCCCATCCATAAACTAATAATTTTAAATGTGTTTCGTATACTTGGAATTAGGCCCTGATGATCAGTAATGCACTAACTCCCTAAATATTTCAGAATAAAATTGTACTAGTTAGTTTTAAAATTTAAAATAGATGTTCGTCACAACATTATATAGTACTTCTGTATTGTGTGAATAGAAAATAAGAGTTTCATTAGTATATAACAACACACCTGTAGCCTGTAACCCTTGCTGTTTAAAATATGTTGTAGAAGCAACACGAAGCTATAACACATTAAATAAAACTGTTTTTATGCACCGTGTTTATTTTTATTTATTTTATATTCTCTATTTATTTTTTTTATTCCCTACGTGTAGTTTTTTTTAAATAGAATATTAACAATGCTATAAACGTTACTAATATTCCCCTTAACCACTCGTGGTAAGCTTAAATTGCTTGTGTTACGAGTGGTTCACGCCAGTAATCGAATGGCGGATTCGAACCCACGACCTTTTTGAGTTCGCGGTCCGCGCCCTGCCATTAGGCTACTGTCGCTTTTGCGCACGCAAGCACCCGCGTTTGCGTGGGGACTGCTGCATATACTAAAGCTGCAAAGAATATAAAATATAGTTGGATAGACGATTACATATACCACGTCAAACACCTACATTTATTCTCAAATAATAATCAAAATTCACATGCAGTGTCTTTTCTGAGGACTAAGATGGAATACCTTTTTTATTACGATGATTACGAGTAAAAAGGGTATTTTTTGTCAAAATATTGTAAAACATCCGATAATAACTTACATTCTCCAGGTATTGAGGATTTTGAAGATATGAGATGTGGAATGCGAGGATAGAATATGCCAACATAACCAAAATCGTGAGAAATGCTCTGAAATGAGAGTAAAATTCTGAAATATATTTCATTTTAGATCAATGTTGGTATATATAAGTTAATTTGCAATATTCACTAATATCGTCATCTCAATCACGGAATACGTAACCTAAGTTGGCAAAATATTGCCCTCGAAAACTGTTAGGCAAAAAATATATGAGTATATAAATTAAGGGGATATCTCAGGTCTCTAATATCAAATATCAGAGATTATAATAATATCTGATAATTCTGTGGTAATAATAGAGACGTTTTCTGTAATCACCACATTTGACAGTTAATTCGCAATAATATGTTATATGAAACAACACAAAGTGAATGTTGTTTACACTAACAATAAAAAAATTGGAAAATCCAAAAGTACATATTATACCAAAAGATCAACGGACGGGATAGTAAGTCAATAACCGCTCGTTTGCTTCTTGCAACCACAGTTGCAAAAACAGAATTCTTAACTTTGTTCTTTGCAACTGTGGTTGCAAAACGACGAAGTTCTTTTAATTGAATTTAGACCGTATTTTAAACGCACAGAGTCTAACTATTACATATTAAAACCAAAAACAAATATATAAGTCATAGATTTGGAACAAAATTACCAACCCCTTGGACGAAAAATATCGAAACTTTGTTAGTTAAAGGTGAGTGAAGTGACGCTTGAGTGGATTTAACGAGGTGATAAAATATGCCGTGAGTATTGAATTTTATTGATTTTTGCTAGTATTTATATACCAAATTAATGTCTTATTAGTGTTTTCTTGTATTAAAGTAATATTTTTGCAAATACTGTATGAAAAATGTGATAAAGTCGACTTTTAAAAATACTCAGAATGACGCGAATCTAAACATAAATTTCTATAGCTTACATTATCGTAATTATGTTGTATTCTTTAAATACGAAATAGTCGTAGTGGTATTTGAATATAATTATTCAATTTAAGTAATAAAGTTTTATAAATTGTTCATCATATTATAATATACGTTTTTATGTAATAACAGCCTAGATTGTAACTAACAAATGGCGATCGATTGCGCAATCCGTGAATTCTTCATCAGGTTTCACTAAATATCTTACTATGTATTCAAATATAACTCGTTTTATAATATAGATAAATATATCAAGTAATTCATTACGTTTAAAGATATAGTAAATAATCATACACTTATCGATCTTATTTTTTTGATAAACCCGATGTTTTACAAAGAGACGCTAAAATGGCTTGTACTTGTGATTTCAACACCTCTAAAATATTATTGTAATCATATTTTGATGGAATAACATACGTATTTTCTTTTGTTATTTCAATGGCTATTCATAAAATTTTTAAAATTTAACTTTAAACTGTGTAGATCCGAACAAAATTTAAATTTTAATTTATGGTAACCGCGGTTAACTATGACATCTGGACGTTGAACATCTCAGTCCTTCCCTTGACCATGGGTGCTGTAAAGCTCTCGAAACGTCGGGTATTTATAAAGTTAAATATACGCGATAAATTCCGTAAAAACTAGTATTATTTCAATATGTAGTGTTCACGTAAATATAAGAAAAAGAATTCAATGTTTTTCGCAAAAAATATAGACTAGATCACTCCTGGAATTGTTATCTATCTGTTCGTGAAGTTTCATTACAGTCGATTCAGCCATTCCAAAATAGCCCTGGGACAAACAGATAGATAAAAAAATTAAAAATGGTTATTCGCATCTTAGTTTCGTCATTACAGATACACAATTCAATTTTATCTACCTATTTGTATTAAAGAAGTTGTCCTGAGTGATTGACTCATCTAACAACGCACAGCTAAAACCATTACACGTCGAAGTCAAAATTTTAGACAGTACCTGCGTTTTATTACGTAGTCGTCCACTAAGAAATTTTAGGAAAATACAACCCCTGAATGATGAAATAGGGTGTTACAGTTTACAAAACACTTTTGATTTTACGAGTCGATTGACTGTTGGCTTAGTAAAGATACTCAGTAAATAAAATAAATAACCTCGAATTAAGCGATTTTTTAAATAACCGCTTTGGGTATTCAAATTTATATGGAGAATAATTTTATAATTTTAAAACTCTTGAATGAAAATAATGAAAGTGCAAAGTTCATTCGTAAAATATTATAGTAAGACGCACAGCTCAACTATTGAACGTAGAACAGGAAATTAGGGAATAGTTTCTTTTTAGTGACTTATTTTATGATAATACTCATATAGAACGGGAGTGCAGGTTGTTGGCTGTCCGATGGAATATAACGGATCGCAGGTTTGCAAGCTGTACTAAACAATACGCTTTAAAAAGCGTAGCCTCTTTTTAAAGCGTACTGTCAGTCTTTCTTACATGCAATCTGTGGGTGAACACCATCCTGAGTGAACTACGTTGGATGAATCTGCATACTGAAAATTAGATATGACATGACCTTGATTCGTATGTTTTATTTTATTTAATATATATATATATATATATATATATATATATATATATATATATTTTTCGTTAATTATAATTCTCTTTAATAAACTATTACCAAATATAGATAATTGATCTGAAACGGTATCGAGGAGCACCGCCTTCTGCATGTGAGCCCGGAGCGGTTACAGTCGCCTCAGATGACCCGAGAGGCTGACTAGGATTAGCCCATTCGCAGAGACGACTACAGGAATAATTTCGGCCGATAGACCACCCCACACGTCGGTCACCTCGTGAGCCAGGTCCAGATATTTTGTTCGCTTATTTGTTTCGGCTTTCACGAGGTTCTCGTCATACGGAACGGTAATGTCGACCAAAAATATCCTTGACTGTGCCCGGTCCATCAGCACAATATCAGGCTTATTCGCAAGAATAGTCCTGTCTGTGATGATGGCCCAGTCCTAGTAGAGCTTGGCGCGGTTATTTTCGTGCACGGCTTCCGGCAAGTACTTGTAATATGATACAATACGATTTATGGTCCACGAGACAGTATTCAGAGCGAGCTCCTGGTGTAAAATTCAGGCTACTAGGTTATGCCTGTGCACACGGCCCTGTTTCTCCTGTCTGCGTTGCAGCTGCTCTTCCAACCGATTTGCATGTTCCTTCTGTCGACGGGCCTGTTCCTGCAGCACCATCATCAGAGCACCAAATTTAGGTGCTGCAGACGTAGATGCTGCTGACGGGCCGGCCTTCGTGGCCAGCGGCTGGCCATTCGACGTCTGCAGCGTTGCAACACCAAATCAGCTCTAGTCAGTAAATACTCAGAGTTAGAAAGCGCCGAACAATCGGAGATGACATGCCTAAGTAACTCTCCGGGATGGCGACAAGCTCGACAGACGTCGACGGTGCCATCCTTTAGGATGTATCTCCGATAGTTGTTGGTCTTAATAACCTGATCTTGTATTGCACAGACAAAACCCTCGGTTTCCCCGAAGATGTCACCGAAACGTAGCCAGTTGAGGGAGGCGACTGTGTCTACGAAGAGCTTATGTAGAGCCCTGTAGTATCTCCCGGGAACTCTTTCTCCTTCCATACGGTCTCCCAGTCTTACGGTCCTCTATTGCTCGTTGGCTAGGGATAGAGGGGTAAGCCCTTTATCACTAGAAATTACGTCTGATCCGATCTCCCCAGGAAGTAATGACGGAGGCTTCACACTTCGCGATTATGCACGGTGAGCGCGATCAGGAAGCCACGCCCACCATGCTTTTGCAGCAAGTACAGCCTCATTACCGACGATCTCGGATGATGCATCCTATGGGACATCATGGTAGTGCGGACTTTTCTATCCAGGGCGTTAAGATCAGTTTAAGTCCACCGGAGTATGCCAAAAGTATACATGAGGACAGGCATGACCTAGCGGTTATATGCGTGTGTTTTATTCCATCCGGACAAAAGGCTGTTAAGCACTATGGTCAAGCGTGCATAAAACACGTCGCAAACTGACTGTTTCAAACTAGCCCCATCGATACCGATGTTCTGTGACATATCCAGGTATCCGTATGTTTCAGCCTCGGAAAGGGTCTTTAAGTTGACGGACATAGATAAGTCTATGCCCTCAAAGTTAACAACCCTTCCCCTGTCAACATGGAGGACCGCACACTTATCCGTTCCCAGCTCCTTTCCAATAGAATGTATAAATTCTCAAGTGATGTTTAGCAATTCCATAAGATGTGAGCGACTGGAGGCGAATAACTTGAGGTCATCCATATAGAAAAGGTGAGTCATTTTTGGACCTCCTTTTCGAAGCTGAAATCCCCTACCGAAACCCTCCAGTAAAGTACTGAGAGGGTTCAAAGAGAGGCAGAACCAAATTGGACTCAGACAGTTGCCCTGGAAGATACCCCTTCTTATCTTTATATGGCTTTCCGCAGCCATCATCCGCTCACCCAGATGACAAAGGACCGTACTCCACTGCCCCTATACACTGCTCGAGGAAATCTCTAACTGTACTCGTACAGTCAATCTTGTATAGATCGAGGACCTTTTTTGCCATGTATGAGGCACTGAGTCGAACGCCTTCCTGTAGTCTATCCAGACGGTGGACAAGTTCCGATTGTTGCGTTTCACCACTTTGCCAATAACCGCGTCAATGAGAGTGGTTCCTTGGTTCCACAACCACCACCCCGACATCCATTTTGAGCGCGTGACATCACCTGATTTAGCTTCAGGTGACGAGTAGTTCTCGCGCTCTAAATGGATTTCAGTGTCTTATATATGGTGGGTAGACACGTGATGGGGTAGTATTTGCTTGGGTCTGTGGTATCCTGACATTTAGGAACCAAGTGAGTGATTCCAGTACTGAAGAGGCTCGGGAGCGACTTCTGGTCGAGAGCCTCTTGAAACTGTCGGGCGAGCACAGTGTGACACACTATGAACCCCTTCCGCCATTAGTGATGCAGCCCGTCGAGTCCCGGACTTTTTCAGTTCGGGGCACTACGGACCGCCTCAGCCACGTCTTCCGGCGTTATGGTGACGGGGTCTATAGGCGTAAAATTACGCACCCTGGCTCTCCACAACTTCCACACAAGGGCCTCGGTATTATTTACGAGCTCTGACCACACACCACGCCAGGATGCGACAGTATAGGCCTGATCCGATACTGGGTCCGCTCCACCATTGGTCGTTCTAATTAGTTATAGAGCCACTTCTGATCACTCTGGAAGAAACGAATCTGGTTGAACCGCCTCGACTTCACGGTGTATCGACGAATCCGCTTTCGTCAATCAGCAATACTTTGCTTCAGGTCATCTATGCGTTCCGTTAGTTTCTGCGTGATATTCGGCTGGGATAAACTAATATTTGCCCCAGCAAACGCCATTCTAACGGTGCACACAATTCTTGGCCTATTATTATCCGATCTAGAGCTTATCAGCCCTTGCGATATGGTCATCAATTATTTTTCTCCAGGCTGGGATTTCGATACTTTGTCTAGTAGTCCAGCCGTGGTAAGTTTGGCGCTAACAGTACGGCAAACTGCCAGCGTGGTTCCAAAAAGAATTGAGCCCATCTCGAAAAGTTCCGGGCTGGCATTGGATTAGGAGCCCCCACGACAACCCGATTTCGCTTGATTAGGGGTATGCGGGAAGTCACCGTCGATTTTCGAGAGACGGACTGCACATTTCCGAAAACACCTCTTCCAATATGCTCCTCATTTTCTCTAGTTTGTGGGAGACTATTCCATCATTGGCTGAATCAACCACAACTGGAATATCCACGGCGGCATCCACATTTGCAGGTTGCTCTGCAAGTAGTGGTGCCGCTTTCCCAGCCCTAGCATTTTCATCCGACAAGGGAAAAGCCTCACGTCGTAGTCGTTCGAGTTCGGCGTCACCAAATATGTATGTTAGAGCGCAGGATGTACCCTAAAGTACGCTCGCAATGCGTTTGCGTTCATTATTTGCGACCAACGCATGCGACATGCTCCACCAGCAGCGGGTGCCGATTGCTGAGTTCGAGAAGACACAGCTGACACCAAGCCATCTGGTGGGGATGATGAATGCAGGGGGCTACTAGGTGGTCTTGGAGCGCCCGTGCTTGGTTGGCGGCCCGCATGCTGTCGCGTCCAGCGCCAGCTTCAGATGTGCCTTGGCGACCTCCAGGCAGCGGCTCTTTGTGCACTTTTTTATCCATCATCCATAAAACGGGCGTCAATTAACTAAAGACGCCCACGCCCGGCACTGTATCATGTGCGGCCATAAGCGCAAACGGGCCTTTGCACCCTTAATTCTGCCGAGACACCGCGCTCACACCTCTTGGCAAGGCGCTGACTGGCTGCGCTTACGTAATAGTTTTGTCATTTAACTTTTACGTCAGCAGGCGATGGGGGTCGTCAATTCTCTACGCCTTTTATTATTACGTACGTAATAAGAAAAGATTTTTGAAAATTCAACCCCTAAGATGTAGAAATAGGATGTAGCAGTTTGTATAATATTTTTATTTTACGGGATGATTGACTTGAAATTTACTGAAATAAGTAAATTAAACAACTGAACGAAACGACCCTTTACGGTGTGAAGGCAGTAATTTTGACAATCTAATTTTATATCCCCTTAAGGGGTAAAGTTAAAAAAATTCTTTTGATTAGTTTAAATTAGGAACTAAGTAAGATGTGTTCAAAGTTTACGTATACACCACTCTTAAAAGGGAAAATAAGAAATGAAAGCTATTATAAAATTGTAAACTATTTTAATACAGTATTTAATACATCAATCAATATATTCTTTATTAAACACCAATTCACATTGAAACAATTTTTTACAATGAATAGCTAAGAGAGAGGTGTACAGAAAGTAGGATTTAATAAAAAGACAGCCGTGGTAGCTTAGGGGCTAAAGGCTGTAAATTTCACAGTACGTGAACAATCCAGGTTCGATTCTCGCCGACACCAATGAAATTGTTAATTGCATTTTTCATTCACGTACTTGACGGTGAAGGAAAACATTGCGAGGAGACCAGCATGTCAACAAGAAAAAATATTTCTAAAACATGTGAAGTCTGCCAACACGCAATGGAGCAGCGCGACGGGCATTTCCTTGGCCTGGAACCTTCTCAGAAATGAGAGGACGTCTGTACCTAGCTGTGGGACGTATATAGGCTGTAACTTTAATAAAATAAATAATATTACTCATCATAAGCGATCTCATAAAGAGCGTGGGGGCATGATTGTTTGGACGTAATAACTAATTAGGCCGCAAGTAAACTCAACAAGGCAAAAAGCTATTAAAATTTTAGTAATGTGAGCAAAGTTTTGAAGTCGGTTTTTCTAGGAAAAAATTGTTGATGTTAAAAAATTTTAATTGAGTTTTTAACAATTTCGTAGTCATATTGTTTACATGTAAAGTTATTTTAATAAGTATCTCGTAAGTTTATCTTTTGTTTTTCATGACTTGGCTGGTACCGAGTCAAAAATTACTGTTTAAGTATGGTAAATATTTAAGTAATAATAATTGTAATGTTTCTTAAAAATTTCTTTTTATTTAAGCAATCAAAAATATTTTAAACATTTTAGTAGTGTGGGCAAAGTTTTGAAGTCAGTTTTTCTTAGGAAAAACTGTTGATGTTGAAAAATTCTGTTTCAGTTTTCAACAATTTCGTAGTCATATTTTATCTTTTCTCTTGTTTATGATATATAAAGTTGTAACGTTATTTACGTATATAAAGTTATTTTAATAGGTAACTCCTAAGTTTATCTTTTATTTTTCATGCATTTACTGGCATCGACTGCAAACATTTCTGGTTATGTATTGTAAATATTTAAGTAACAATAATTGTGATTTTTCTTATAAATTTCTGCTGCCCTTAGAAACCAAAAATATTATATTTAACTTTTTAGTAGGTAATGTGGGCAAAGTTTTAAGTCGGTTTTTTTGGAAAAATTACTTCATTTTTCAATTTTTAGTTTTAAGCTTACAGTATATGTAAACATAGCTTGCTTATGTACACTCTATATGTATATGTATATATAAGGTGTTAAGTATTATAGTTAGAATAATAATGTAGTCCAAGATATGACAAAATAAAAAACCATTTAAGAAAAAACCAAGGTTAAAAATTCAATAAGTATTCTAAAAAAGCAGTTTGCCCATAGTCTTTTACAATTGAGAGCTTACGCGAAATCCACCAGACGTAATTAAAATCTAGTACATCGTGCTGAGCGATTCAGTCTGATACACAAACGCTTATTAAAAGAAATGGGAGAGCAATATTTTGCATATTACGACCGTGATGCTCCGATCTTCAAGAAAACTGGTGACCCAATTGCACAATTTCTCGGTAAGCCCAAAGGAAAGGAGCATGAAATTGTGATTATAACTTTCTTATATATAAAAGGAAGAAATAAAATGCCAACTGTTTATTAATTTTACCTGACAGATCTCTTCTTGAAGTATAAAACTGAACAAATCGACATTTGTAGGACGTGGATTCAGCAATGCAACTGCAACTATAATTTATTAATTATAGTTTTATTGTACGCATAGGACTGCGTGTACTTGTACTTTCAACATCTGTGTATAGCTACTCCTTACCGGTACGTCGGTAGTCCGTGTTGCTTTATGTGATTAGCTTTACGTAACAATTTATAGAGCGCGATATCTAATAAAACCACAACCAAACGGATTCCCAGCCAAAGTTGAAGCTAGCCTATTTAAATATACCTTAAATAGTAACTTACTTCAATCCATTCAAAGGATTTAAAGACGTAATCCTACGGTTTCCGTTCTCATACTTATTTGTCAGTCGTTTCCAGCTCTCAGCTAGGGACCAACTTATTAAATATCGGTTAGCTGTAACAAATAATGGCATAGTGAAGATTTATAGTCAAAAACATCAAAACAATTTACGGAAACGTTAGCAGGTTTTTGTACTTTATGCCTATTGATTGTGTCTTAATTTTTTTATGAAATTTGTGATAATAAATTTAATAGTTTTCCTAGGTGAACTAATCAAACTGCAGCTATATTATTGTAGTAGCACAAATGGGTATACCAGGGTTACACAGAATACCAGGGTAAAATAGAAGCGTAATGCTACTGTATTTCTTATGGTAAATGTTGAGAACCGAAGACCCTTTTTATTGGAAACGGGGCTTTCTATCGTAGTCTTCAGGGGTGGCAACATATCTGCATTTTGATTATTAATCGAAGATAAATTTAGATATCTGAGGACCACAGCACTTACCAACAGGTGGACTGTGAGCTCGTTTGTCACTCTGATTCTATTAAAAATATATCAACCATAACTGATTGTGATTGAAATTTCCTTGCTTTTCCCCATGTGTCTCCGGGGAGGGGTCCGCGCGGGTTTGTTGCCCAATATCCTTTCAATTACATTACCTTATAATACTTGAAAAGTATCTACTTCATCATTAGAGCAGCTTCGCGCTGTACTAAACAGCGCAAATACAACGCGCAGGCTTCATCCGAGGTGTACTGACACCGTGTAGTGGCGGAGTACCATACTATATCTACTACCCTATGTCATCCTGAGGCGATCGTAAGAGGCGATTTATGGGGATGCTTGTGTTATGAAGTGAAATTTTGATAGACTGCAGTAGTAATGATAAAAATATGTAACAAAAGATGTTTTGTTAAGTCACTCTTATGAATAAACAATTCAATTTATTAAAAAAAAATTATTAACAAGAAATTTAGCCCACGACGCTAGAAATAAATACAAATGTGATTTTACCTAGTACTTTAAAATTCGCCCAACGTTTTAGGTTACACCAATTAAAATAATACGAGGCAATGTGCCATTGAGAATGTTTTTTGTTAAAATCACAAAAAAAAAAACGGAATACAATAGCGGTCTTACTCATAAAAATAAATGTTTTAAGTTACTCTCTCTCTCTCTCTCTCTCTCTATCTATCTTCACCAAACTGACAATAGAAAGAGACTGGTATAAAACAACTAACTATTTATTTAAGTAAATGATAATGAATGATAATGATCATCAGTTTTACCTAAGTCTATTATTTATGAATAGTTTAATAGCCATGTTACTCACGTTTGTGGTTAGGGTTGCGTGCGAAGTCGTAAATAGTTCCAATCACATTCATTAGTAATATGAGTCCGCAGAAGTAAATGAACGCTACGTCAAGACCATCGATTGGTCGCGATGGCGGTGTTTTGCTTGTCTTGCAGTAGTCGAGGGACGAAAGCTTTGCATCGAAGCCATAATGCGTTTGGGTAATGTTTTTGACGCACTTCACGAACTTTCTTTTTAGGGAAACCTCATCGACGTCTGAACATCTTGATGAAACGCAGTAGCCCCGGTGGATGCTTGTGTGATTGAAGCTGTAGCGTTCTTCAGAGAATTTCTGGAATAATGTGAGTCAGGTAAATACTCCTTCTTTGTTGTCTGTCCATAGCAGTCTGGACATGAGTCTCCTCCATTGAAGGGAGGAGACTCATGTCTAGACTTTTTAATTATAAGGAACAAACTTGGTGGTCGCAGTACCTAGAAATACTCAGGCCGGCGACGAGTAGCAGCGCCAAACGTGCGAGACGTGCTGGATCGTCAATCCGTCAGCCAAGCGTAACGATTAAGACAAATCTTTCTCACAATAGGTAGAAGCCCATGCTTAGCAATGAAAGTTTACTAATAGAATGAAGATGAATAATAAAATAAAAAATGCGTGAGTGTTTATATATAAATAAACACTCACGCCTGTCACACAGAGGGGTAGGCAGAGACTAAGGACTTCCATTTGGCACGATCCTGACATACCTCTTTCGCCTCCTTTACATCCATATATCTACGCATACATGCTCGTCGGTTAAGGGTACTTCTAACGTGGCCCATTTTCAAAATATCGCCAATTTGGTCGATAAACTTTTTCTAGGGCGTCCCTTCCCGACTCGGCCGATCACATCTGCCATATAAATTTGCTTTGTCACTCTTTCCTCATTCATTCTTTCTACATGACCAAACCACCGAAGCATTCCTTTCTTAATCCTGGTCACAACATCATCTTGCATACCACATTTATCTCTTGTCACGCAATTTCTCACCCTGTCATTCAAATTCAACCCTAGTATATTCCTTAAAGACCGCATTTCTACAGTATTTATTCCACTTTCGTGCTTCTTCTGCCACACCCAGCTTTCACTACCATACATTAAAGTAGGGACTAACACAGCATTATGAATTACCATACGTGCTTTTTTTGACACATTCTGGTTCTTCATAATAGAGTGTAGTGCCCCATTCACTCTATTCCCTGCATTTACTCGTCGTTCTATATCCCTATCATATCTACCATCCCTGCTAAATACACATCCCAAATACACAAACTCATCCACTTGCTCAATTAACTCTCCTTCTATTCTTATTTCACATACCGTTTTGCTTTCTTCTCTTTCAAAAACCATCACTTTCGTCTTACTTGCGTTCACTTTCATTCCCCTTTCTTTTAATTCCCAGTTCATTAATGTAACCACCATTTGCAACTCAGCCGCCGATGACGCAAATATGACTTGATCATCGGCGTACAGAAGGCATTTGATGGTTAACTCGCCCATTCTTAACCCACATTCTTCATATTTCAAAGTTTGCAAACATCTGTCCATAAATAGGTTGAACTGCCAAGGGGAAGCTACATAGCCCTGTCTGACACTCGCCTTTTTGGATGCCAAACCGGTCCGAGTAGACCCCATTGATCCTGATACAAGCACTAGAGTTCCTATAAAGAGACCCTAATGCCTGTATCAAACCAGCGCTCAACCCATATGAGTTCAGTGTTTGCCATAACACATTCCTGTCCACTCTATCATAAGCCTTTTCCAAGTCCATGAACGCACAAAAAACTTTCGGTTTTTGGCCAAAAGCTATATATATATATATATATATATATATATATATATATATATATATATATATATATATATATATATATATTATCGCATGTATATATGTGTTAGAGATAAATAAACATACATTAATTTTCTACAAATATTTAAGTTTATTATCGGCTTCCTTCCATAATTTGTTATTATTCACCCGAAAATTCACAAAATGTGAACTTTAATATGAATTTACAGTTTTATTTACTTTAAACGAAGAATATTTAATGTATTGAACAAAATACAGTGGAATCTCTATAACTCTATAACACTACGCGACAAACGTCTCGATACCATCCACACCATCTGGATGCTTGGCGGTCCACCACAGTACGTTCCAATAGGAGTTTTCTTCCGCGTACAACCTCTCTGTGGAATAGTTTACCACCGGCGATTTTTCCGGACCGATACGACCTGGGGACCTTCAAGAAAAGAGCTTACTCCTTTCTAAAGGGCCGGCAACGCACCTGCAATTCCCCTGGTGTTGCGGTTGATCATGGGCGGCGGTAGTCACTTAACATCAGGTGAGCCGCATGCTCGTTTGCCCCCTCTTCTATTAAAAAAAATTCGAATGTCAAGGGAAATGAAGAAATGATTGTTTAAGAGTGACCGGTTTTATAGACGATGAACAAATTACGTTATGTATATATTTTTTACTTTAAAATTATTGAAGTATTCATGATCTTTTAATTTAAACTATTTGCAGATTTTTATCAATTATTTTTTCAAGCTCATCCAAAGCCAAAATAAATACTGACGGCCAAGCTCCGCTAAAAGTAATTGTGTCCTGTGTCGACAAGAAACAAACAACGTACACAGCTGTGTCACTTAGAAAGTTTTATGAATGTATTCATTCATTGCACGTGTATAAGACAAAACCAATAGATTAGAAGCCCCGAACCCGAACATTCATTTTGGATTTTATTGCTATTATTTCGGGGAATTCCAAGTAAGACGTCATTATATTTCACTAACTACGACTTACGGAGTCTCCTTTTTGAAATTCGAGTTATAGAATATTAATATGTACTGTCTATACTTCGTAGGGAAATAACATTTTGTTCGAGTAACAAAGTCTAAATAATTCGAGTTACCGCGTAATTTAAGAGTTCAGCGGAAGGGAATGGCAATTTTTTTCGACTTACTGAGGATTTCGACTTAATGAGATTCGAGTTATAGAGATTCCACTGTATTAATTCATAAAATTGTGCAAAATTTAAATAAATTACAAAAAATAAACTGCTCTCTCTTGCTTATATCCCCCACTAAACTCCCGTTCCCCTCGTCTAATCACAATTTTCGTAACGCTTTTGTTACACGTTCGCCAGCTTACTTTCCAAATCAAGCGTGCGTAAAGAAGTTTTACTTCAAAAACTGTTGCAAAATAATTGTCAGTTTGAACATTTTCATTGTTCTTTTTTATCTCATAGAGCTACGCTGTAGTTTATTATGGTTGTAGCACGGATGGGTCAGCTTGACAGCGGAAGGGCCTCGGTCGCACTGAATATCAACGTAATAAAGCAACATAATACTAATCTGAGTGACAAAAAACGGAGGCCCTTTAAATAGTATCAAAGCATTAATTTATACATGTTTCAGTCCTATGATGTGAAAACGCATCTACATTCTGATTCTTTATCGAGGATAGAATGTGTCTATGAACAACAGCGTCAACTTACCACCAGGTAAACTGCGTACTTGTTTGTCACCCTTACTTCTATAAAAAAGGATTTGTCAATGAAAAAAGAAATACTGTTTTTTTTTTTAAAAAATTAAAGTGTACAATATCAAATGAAGCACACAAAGAAAAAAGGAATGCCAAATTCATAGCTCTTACTAAAACATATAGCTAGCTCTAGTGATAACAATTGTAAATTTTTGTCTTTTATTATTTTAATTAATACCAGGTGTATATTAAAGCAGGTGTGTCTGCGAAGTCAAAACCGATATACTTGCGCAGGTTTTGCAAGGTTCCGTTGACATGAGAAATTTTAAAATCAGCCTTTTGAAACCCATATGTTGATCGGCCCCGCATAACCTACACCACTACATGAGAATGCTGTGCTTGGTCTGACTCTTAAAGGTAACTGGCCCATCAGCTAATTTGGTTTTGAGCGAAAAAACTTATACAAGTAACACATTTTCAAAAATCAATTTTTACAAGTGATATATCTCTAAGTATATTTAGATCTCAGGTATTGAATCATTACTTGTGATCCACCGTGTAATGTTTAGATATGAGCGTCATAAACGAACAATCTAGCTAAATAATAATTGTGAGGAATCAATTCTAGATATTTTGTATCTGTATTTACTTAAGCATGATAAATACGTCCACCAATCCAAAATATGCCTTCCAAGAATGGATTAAATGAGATAAATTTAATTCTTTTTAATGTTTATATTTGCTCATTAAAATCTTTTATTTGTGCTTTTTTTATTATGTGTAACACTTCTTTTATTTATTCTGTTTTCAAATATGTACCCTAATATCTTTTTTCTTAATTATAGGAGTCTTCAACAGTAAGCAGCTACTCTTAGCATTTTAATCAAAGAAGAAAATTCATACCACATAGCATCCTGACAATCGACAGTATCTACTACTGCTTAGATTATATGTAGTAGTGTAAAAAGAAAGGGCATAGCATATCTTACGTTAGAACGAGATAGAATGGCTAGACTATACATACGTACACGCTATAGACCTATATCGGACTGACGTCAATCGTTAACGAAACAAATCCTACTTATTTTCGCGGTATCTTTGATTTCGAAGTGTTAATAAGTATTTAAAAGGTGTGATTACTCGTAAATATGGTAACGTTTGCAGTACCTGAATGCAATTCATCGAAGAAAGAAAATCCACAAAGTTGTACATTTCACACGTTAGCACAATTAAAATGTTTAGCACTCTAAATGCAATATTTTAGCACTGGTACAAATGTTTTATACACAAATGTATAAGGAAAAATATCACATTTTATTACGACAGTGCTCTAAATGCGTAAGAATTATAATATTTTTTTAACAAATTCGTGAATTGCTCCTATTTCTGATCTAATTTTTGTAAAGATTAACACTATCGATCTTATCGATAATATGTTTATAACAAGCAAAGGCATACATTTGGATGCAGCCTCTTTTAACTTCGTATTTTCTTTTAATTTACAATATTTAATTTTTGGCATTATAGTAAATACTTTAGCGAGATAAATTAAACTCTTATAATGTATCAGATGTCCAAGAAATACTGCGGTTAAACAAAATTGGTTAAAAATGATAAACAGAGAAGACTGGGCTCCCAAAAAATATAATTATGTAGCAAGCACTATATGTAGCAAGCACTGAACAAAAATATTTTTTCTCGTAGAAGTGCACAAAGTAAAGCTGCGTTCTGGTTTAATACCCACATTATTTATGCCCATGAGTAGTTTCTTAATTATATATATATTTACTGTACATATGTTCATTTCGTTGGCGCATGTTCAAATGTGTATAAATTGTTGTCGTCATCCTTGTATGTATAATTTTTTTAAATCCAAAGTAACAAAGGAACTTATAGTATAACTTGATGGAAACGGCTACTGAAGTACATGATCACCTAGAGTCAGCTTCAAACAAAGAAAGCTAAAATATGTTTTCACCCCTGAAGACTAAGATAAAATGCCTTACAACTTATAATCATACGGGCTCTAATGCGCAATTGGTAGCACTGCTGCCTAGCGGCAGAAATAGTAAAAAGGGTGGTTGAAACCTCATTTTATATATTTTAATCATAGATAAGTACATAATATATACAGTAATTATATTTGTTTATATGTTGTAATGAATCTGAAACGCAAAGCATCGTCATATGTCTACAGAGATATAGATAGCCCCAGAACACAGTGGCTCTACTGCAAACGTTTCTATTATAGACAATTCCCCGAGAAAGGAAAAATGAAGAAAATTATTGATATTCTTCGGATATCATTCGGAGACGGCTGGAAATGTAACAAAAAAACTGAAAAATATAAGAGCACAAAAAACGGGATAATAAAAAAGTTGTCTCTGTTGATAAAAAATCTAGAAATACTTCCTTCACCTTAAAATAACATTAGCATCGTAATAGTCTCTAATTCAAACTATTTGTTGCAGCTTCTCATCGAAAGGGTGATTAAATAAAAAATAAAAAAACAAACAGGTGTATGATACGCAACTAAAGACATTTGCTCTTAATTTACATTTTTATAGCCCTAGGACCTGCAATTAGATGAGAACAAAATTTGACCCGTGCCTACCATATCCTCGAAAACTACGAGTCTGTTACCAAAATGCAGGCTGTAAACCTGGCATCACTAAGAATGCCGCAGAAACCACAAAGGTTATAAGTAAAGAAAAAAGAATTGTTCATCGCCCTTACGTTCGACGAAATATCTATCCGTGAGCACATTAAATTTGACGGTCGTATATTTTCGTCATTTACTACAGTTGGTTAGAAATACTTTTGCAGAATACAAATTTTTTTGTCATCATAATAATATTATTATATGGGAATTTCTTGAAATTCTCTGCCAACTTCAACATGATGTCGGTTTGCATTTGAAAAATACGATAACTAAAAAACATGTCAATTTTGTAAATCGCAAAATGAATATACAGTTAGAAGCGTATCTGTTAAGTAATTCTGCTGCAATCAGCTTAGAGTTCTGCAAAGACGTATTAAAATTACCCATGTTTGAAAATCTCCAAGCGACAGCAGGTTTTATAAAGCATATAAACAGCATATTTGTCATTTATCTCTATATCTATCTATCTATCATATATCTAATCTAATGCATACTATATCACACCACTGCATTGTGTATTTTTAAAATCCTTTCTTCTAGGTTTGTAATTACAAATTTATAAAATGATAATCAATTTTCTTATTACGTTATCAGGATGGACCTTCTACCCAAGGTCTATGATAAGCAATTTCAGATGGAGCAATGCCACGAGAAGCGGAATCAGAGACTTAAAAGCTTTTATTGTCTTCTGACTGCACATTGAACCGGTGAGTACGATATATGTTTTTCACCTACTTAGGTAAAAGCTTAAGCACGCGAATACCATTTCTTAATCAGTCCAGGCCTTGAAATGATTTTTAGAAACTTCCAGTACTTCAGAAACTTCTATAAGTAATTTACTTAGTAATTCAAGTCTAGGCATAGATAATTGACTATTAGGAGCTACCTTAGACTTGCCAGTTACCACATTTATATTAACTTGCCCATCACCATCAATAACTCATGTCAATATATGCTAATAAAGATGCATTTGAAAATCCATGTAGTTCTTTTTTTAAAAAAAAAAAAGAATATTAGCAATGCTACAAACATTACTAATATTAATCTTAACTACTCGAGGTAAGCTTATATTGCTTGTGTTACGAGTGGTTCACGCCAGTATTCGAATGGCGGATTTGAACCCACGACCTTTTTGAGTTCGCGGTCCGTGACCTACCATAAGGCTACTGTCGCTTCAAAAGTTCTATAAGCATAATATTATTGTTTCACATTTCATTCAACGAGGTAACCCGAACTCGGTAAGTTTTAATAATAATTAATTTCTACGAGTAAGCCAGTAATTCAAAATAAAACTTACCGAGTCTAAACCAAATCTTTTGAATGAAAACTTTTGCACTGACTATACTTGGTTTTATTCATCCTAACGGATCACACTAAACGTGAAATATCAAATATAACCTTTATTTTAGTAACAGGAAATGATAACGATGGAAGTCAAAGTGCATTCAAACTCATAGTTTTTTCGATTCCAAGTTAGTCCCGAAATTTTGTTTATAGGCTCTTCCTTTAATTTAAAAAAATTCTTATTATAATTTTCTTCTTCTTGTTCTTCTGATTCTGTATAGTGTTCAATAATTTTTTTCAAGTAATGAATCTTCTGTACATCTTCCATAGAACTCTTATAAATGAGTGATCCCTGAAACTGATCCATTCGGAATATTGTCGTGAAAATGTCTTCTTAGGCAATTTTAAATTAAAAGATGACGTTGTAGGCTCATCATATTCAAGTCCAGGTTGTTCCAAAAGTTGATCTAATTGTTCTTTAATTTTTGCAATAAAATTAATATAAAAATTTCTGTTTCTTGAAAGTGATCATTTTCAATGTAGTCTGACGCTGATACATCTTGGTTACTTTTAATAATTACAGAATGATCACTTGAAATATCTGTCCATTTTTCTTCCACTTATTTTATTTTGATCTCAATATTACGTGCTGTTAGTAATTCTTTAGGACTTTTCTTATTTTAACTTTATTCAACTGATTTATAATGTATGTCTGAAGCTTTACAAATTTCATGTTTCAAATTAAATTTTATTATTGATTATAATTTTTCAACAAATTTGTCTAAGTCGATGTTATGTTGACATCCTATCATAACAAATTGCTTCAAAATTTTTCTGTGTTTGAAGGTGAGAAAAATTCTCACCTTTTTTGAAAATTGGGCATAGGTTCCCCGTATATTCGACATTTTAGCACTATGTTAATAACGCAGCAATGTACTTTTTTTCAATTTATTTAAAACAGCATTATGTACACCACTCTTTTGTTGTCCTTTTCTCACGTTTTCTGGGTGGTGTGTCGTTGCAATTGGGTCTTCTCACACTTCGAAGATCGTCTCGTCGATGTTCATGTTCCGTTGCTATCAGTGTTGTCTTCCAATTTAGTAAATTGAAGATGTATTCTCTACGACATTCCGACACCGTGTCCCGTAATCGTTAAAATGATTTAACAAAAGTCATCCTCAGCCTTAAGTATCCAACTCGCAGGAGCAATGTTAAATGCACAGAACTTTCCCAACCCCGTAACCACGAATTGGTGTTAGTAAACACAACTTCCTGAAAGATATACAACTTTCAATTATAAATAACGATTATTTATATTTGAAAGTTGTAAGCTATATAATGTTCTATCAGGCAAAACTTACATATATATTACAAATGAGACGATATAGTGAATAAAATATTAAATGTAAGAAAAATAATAAACAAGCAATCATTATTTAACGAAATCTTACTCACAAGAACAGACGAATTAATAAATTATGAATTAAAATAAATCAATATATTTATTTTACTTATTTCTTTCAAACTATCTTCATGAGTTTAACAATACTACTAACTACTATCTAACATCGAAGTATCTAGTCATAACATATTCAAAAAAGTCTGAGAAAGTATAGAGTACTTGCTAGGGTAGAGATAAACGCATACATTTATTAAGAATAATTTTTCAGTGCTGATTTTCCATGTTCGTGGTAAGAAAAGAAAAGATCATACAGAAAGCAGTAATAAAATACATCGATAACATGATGTGATGAAGACTTAGTAGTTTCAAGTTGCAACTTTATTTTTAATTTGTATGTCATGCCTTATAAAAGTTCTAAGTCTGCCTAGCGATGTGACGTCTGTGGCTGTAATTACAATTTTTATTTGAACAGTTACCTGTATAATATTAAACAAGCGGTTATTAGGCGGTGCTACAAGTTGGAAGCTACCGAGGCAGAAGGCACCGCGTCGATTCGCAAGGCATTTTTCGTAGTCGTCCAGCTGAAACAGTTGCGGCATCTGATGATACTGCTCATCTAAAAGATAAGAGTATTATATGAATAAAAAATTTAACGGTGTAAGAGGCCTTCGAAAGATTTATTTATTTTGATGCATAAACACTATATTATTTTAATAATTATTTTAATTTTTTTTTTCTTTAAAAAAAAACGTTACTACCTCCACGCTAGGATTTTCTCCTGCATCGTGAAGGCAGTTTACAAATATAAATTGCACAAGGACAAACATCCAAAACCGAAACAATTACTTGTAGGCCATACAAATACTTGTTCCGTCCCACGGGGCCGTCACTATATATTATTTTATACAATCGGTGTGAAAAAATTAGAAACATCATAGTAATAATCACCTCATTCCCAGGGGTTATTATCAATCATCTACTCTTTAGTTTCAGTATATACAATAATAATATAGTACAATTCGGTCAGAAAGGGATGCCTTAGGCGAAAATTTATCGACCAAATTGGCGATTTATTGAAAACGGGCCAAATTAGGAGTATCCTTAACCGACGAGCATGTATGCGTAGGTATATGGATGTGAAGGAGGCGAGAGAGGTGTGTCAGGATCGTGCCAAATGGAAGTCTGTAGTCTCTGCCTGCCCCTCTGGGAGTCAGGCGTGAGTGTTTATGTTATGTATGTTACTGAACAATTTTTGCTTAGAATTTTTTTAAACCATTTGATATAAGGCCTGCATATTTTCTGGGAACTTGTTATTATTGTAAAAGCGTATACATTACCCCATATAGGAATTACTGGCTCTTTGTAGTTGAGTAACTGGTAAAACCAACCTGTGCTTGTTCATAGTATTTCAGAATGTACATAATCATAATCATAATCATTACAGCCCTTCTCAAGTCCACTGCTAAACTTAGGCTTCCCCCAAGGAACGCCACAAAACACGCTCTTGAACCACCTGCATCTATCGACTTCCTGCATGTCTTACCAGGTCGTCACTCCTTGTAGAAAGGGGTCGCTCTACACTTCGCCAACCGGTACGAATCTGCCACTTGAGAACCTTTTTCCCCATCGGTTGTCGGTTCTTCGAGCTATTTGGCCGGCCCATTGCCACTTCAGCTCACTAATCCGTTAGGCTGTGTCTGTTACTCTGATTCTACTGCGGATATCCTCAACTCTAAGTTAATCAAGCCGAGAAATCTCGAGCATAGCCCTCTGCATGGGTCGCTGAGCGTCCTTGAGCTTCCTTATATAGCCAACAGTGGGGGACCACGTATCGGTCCCATAAGTCGTCACTGGCAAAACGCACTGATTGTACAGTGTTGTTTTCAGGTTTTGATGTATAGATAACGAAAAGATGTGTCATAATTTCTCGAACGCTGTCCAACCGAGTTGTACCCGCGTCGATTGGCTTCTCGGCCAAAATTTGACTTACCTAATCGGACTATTTGTCCCAGGTAAACGTTATCATCAACAAGTTCATGCTTAGTTCTCCCAACAACCACAAGTACAATAAGTGTGACATGGACATTACATATGATTGTTGTTTTGTCCATGTTCATCTTAAGACCTATCCGTTGGGAGACACTATTGAGGTTATTGAGCGTAGTGCTTAGGTCCTCCAGCGATTCTGCCATAAGGACTATATAGTCGGCAAATCGGAAGTTATGTGATCGCTATTGATGCTAATACCATATTTTTTCCAGTCTAGTAGCTTGATGACGTCTTCCAATGCAGCGGTGAAGAGTTTCGGGGATATAACGTCACCCTGTCTTACACCTCTCTGGACTTGGAAAGGTTTCGTACTATTGTTCTGTACTCGGAAAGCCATCGTAGCCCTGCTGTACAAACATTTCAGCAATTCGATATACCGACAGTCAACTTGGCATCGCAGAAGGGACTGTAGCACCGTCCAAATTTCGACGGAATCGAAGGCTTTCTTATTTCTTAGTTCGCATACGCTAGGCACCAAGGTTGTATAATTTGAGCAGTGACCTAAACTTAGTAGTCATGGCAGAAGTTTCAGAGATATTGATATTACAGTCTCCAAATAGGACGACAGATTTATTCTATTTATTAAGGCTAGGCAAATCTTACACCATTTTTTTTTCAAAACAAGCAAGCATGTAATATAAGGCTCTGTAAACACTGACAACAATGAGGAGCTTGAGCTCAACAAATGCCATTTCTACAGTTTGCTCAACAGAGAGACTCACAATATCTTTACGTCCCTTACTAATAATTTATAAGCTAATGTAAAGAAACCACCGCGTAATTTTTTTCTCTGTTAAACCATCTGACCACCTGCTGTTTACTGAAATTAAACATATTATAGTTATGGTTTTTTAACCAATGTTCAATTATACAATTTTAAATTTATTTTTTTACGTGGTAGAGCCATGCTGCAGCTATATTAATTGTATAGTTGTAGCACGAATGGGTCGGCTCGACCGGGGAAGGGCCAGGCTCTCACAGAACACCGGCGTCAAATAGCAGCTTAATGCTGCTGTGTTTCGTATGGTGAGTGTAGAGAACCGGAGACCCTTTTTACTGGAAAAGAGGCATTCCATCTTAGTCCTCAAGGTTGACAACGCATTTTCATTTTGATTCGCAAACGAGGATAGATGGAGATGTCTATGGGCCACAGAAACCACTTACCATCAGGTGGACTGTGTACTCGCTTGTCAGCCTTTTCCTATAAAAATACAAAAATATGTATGTTGTTACTATTTAAAAATAATTTAATATCTGCCCTGTATATTAATCTACCTATATAACATGCCCTGTATATTAAACTACACTTTTTATAACATCATAATCCGATGGGATGGTTGTTCGATACGAACGGAGAGGGATCAGGTGCAGGATCAACGGATTTACGTGATTTCCGAGACACGAGTTCGAAACACCGATAGCTTTCCCAGAAAAACTCAATAACTGATTTCGGCTCGACTCGGGATTCAAATCCAGGCCCTTATGATCAGCAAATTCGTTTATGACTACTAAACATTCATCTTCTAATAAAGTGTAAATAGATGAATAAATAAATTTCTACAATATTATGAAAATACATAACTTACCTGATAACTCCAACGCTTTCCCCGCTGCCAGTATCACAAACAAAAACCACAACACTTCCATCACAACAGTACGTTCAATGTTAGGGATTAAATGTCAAATATATAAATGGAGAGCCGTGCGGCTAGCCTCACAATATATACGTTCGCGTGAGCTACAAATATTTATTGTTAAAACTGTTCATTGTCAACTAGATATGATCTAGCGGTCAGCTTCTTGCTGAGACCGAAATTTTGATCAAAGTCTTTATTTGTGTAATTGTCATTTTATTGAATCTCGGCCATTAGGTGTATTAGGTAGGGCGATCTCTTTCTTCTCATCATCTTCTCGTCAGGATGTGTCGTTGAATTGTATCAAGTCGAGTCGTCTTAGATGGCAACCTCCACCGGAGATTCTTAATGTCCATGCTCCGTCGATACTATCGTCGCAACCGTAGCCAGGAATAGCGGGGTTGCCGTGGACTACGGGCCGTTACTTATGTCGTTGCTCTAGGGAATGAAGTTGTCAGGTTTGGCAAGAGGATTGGCAACCGCAGTTTTTTTATTGTAGTTTTGGTTTTTATCGGAACGATGCTGCTGCCCATATTTTGTCCTAGTTACCTCATGTCGTCTCTTAGGAAACCTACGGGAAAATATGAGATAGTGGATTTATTTTATAGAAGAGGGGGCAAACGAGCATACGGTTCACCTGATGTTAAGTGACTACCACCGCCCATGAACAACTGCAACACCTGGTGAATTGCAGATGCATTCTCGGCCTTTTAAAAAGGAGTAGGCTCTTTTCTTGCAGGTCCTTATGTCGTACCGGTTCGAGGAAGTATGTTGGGCGAGGACGACAACTTCTCTTAAATCGCACAGTGGATGACCACCAGCCATCTTGGTATCGATGGTATCGTGAGTTTTGTCGCAATCTTCGTGGTCACTTGGAAGGGAAGGCCAAATTGGCCTCTAAAAAGCTTGGCGTGCTCAGCAGAGCGGGACAGTATTTCATGCCGGCACACCGCCTGCAACTTTACAAGGCGCAGGTTCGGCCGCTCATGGAATACTGTTCCCATCTCTGGGGTGGGGCTCCCCAGTACCAGCTCCTTCCACTTGACCGCATCCAGCGCAGAGCGGCTCGAATCGTCGACGACCGAGTGCTTTCCGATCGGCTCGATTCACTGGCGCTGCGAAGAGATGTTGCATCTCTTTGCGTATTTTATCGCATCTATCACGGGGAGTGCTCTGAGGAATTGTTCGGATTAATCCCAGCCACCAAATTTCGTGAACGCACTACACGGCAAACGTCCCGATACCATCCACACCATCTGGATGCTTGGCGGTCCACCACTGTACGTTTCAAAAGGAGTATTCGCGTTCTTCCGCGTACAACTACTTCTCTGTGGAATAATTTACCACCGGCGATTTTTCCGGACCGATACGACCTGGGGATCTTCAAGAAAAGAGCTTACTCCTTTCTAAAGGGCCGGCAACGCACCTGCAATTCCCCTGGTGTTGCGGTTGATCATGGGCGGCGGTAGTCACTTAACATCAGGTGAGCCACATGCTCGTTTGCCCCCCTCTTCATTGAAAAAAAATCTGCGATGGTGAAATTGTACGGCTGGAATTGTCCGAATAATTCCTCATAGCACTCTCCCTTAGTAAATGCGATAAAATAGCAAAGAGATGCAACAACTCTTACCAGTGCCAGTGAGTCAAGCCGATCGGAAAGAGCTCGGTCACCCATGATTCGAACTGATTAAATGGAAGGAGCTGGCACGAGTAGCCGCAGACCAGAGTTAGGAACAGTATTCCATGTGCAGCCGAACCTGCGCCTAGCAAAGTTGCAGGTGGTGTGCCGGGATGAAATACTGTCTGCTGAGCATGCCAAGCTTTTTAGAGGTCAATTTGGCGTTCTCTTCCAAGTGACCACGAAACTGCACATCACTCGATATGTCGACAACGAGAATTCCGATAATGGCTGAGGCAACAAGAGAAGTGCCTTGAAACTGAGGAGATACGACAAAGGCGTTCTTTTTAGCGGTATACGAGCAAACTTGTGTCTTTTGGAGAATGAACTAGACTAGATTTAGTAGCCCCCAGTCCGAAACTTTGTTCAAAAAAGTCTTGACCTCAGACACAAGTGTCCCGGTGCACTAGGACGTTTTCCTGAGAAATATTGGCACGGCCGGTGTATAAAGCTGACGTCCGCATAGCAGTGATTGTTACCGGTTTGCAACATGTTATTGATATACTGAAGAAACAGCGTTGGTGATAGCACGTAATGTGGTGAAACATCGGCGTTAATGGGCTTGTAATCGGAGTATGCACCGTCTACTACGACCTTGATGCTCCGATCTGCAAGAAAACTTTAAAACCTGTGCCAACTACAGGACACTTCGTCTTCAGCACAATAGGAGGGACGCCATCAAGCCCACTTGACTTGATGACATCCAGAGAAAGGAGAGCTCTGCACACCGAGCGTTGGGTAAACAACACATCCTTCATGGTGCACTCACACCGCGGGTTGGTCGGCAGTGTGTTCTCCGTCGTTAAGAGTCGAATTGGACGCAAAGAGAAAGACCAGCAGATCGGCTTTGTCCTTTGCGGCATAGGCCAGTGAGTCACTGTGCAGAGATGGGAGAGATGGCTGACAGAAGTTCGCTTGGAAAACCTTGGCGAGAGACCAGAATGCACGTGTTTCCGAAGGAAATCGAACTAGTTTCTCGCCAATTCTACCGATGTGCTCTGACTTTGCCTTGACAATGACACCGATAGGTACCACCGATGATAGAATTAAAAGCAACGCTGGGATTATCCAGCGAAAAGCAGACCCACCTCCAAGGGCAGGATGCAAAAAAGGATCGCATCCTGTCACAATCCGCTGTCCTACCATAACCAAACACGGCAGCGTTGTATATATATATATATATATATATATATATATATTATATATATATATATATATATATATATATATATATACCCAAAGCATTCCAGCTCATTTTCAAGATATGCTGGCAACCTTTTATTGTAAGGACATTCACGCTATTCTTGTTTATGAATCATTGCTTAAACCGTCAAGGAATGATAATGCTCTAGGCGGTGGTGGAGGTGTTGCTATATATCTTCGTACATATATCTCTTCCTCTGTGATTGATATGTCAGCACACATTTTTTTAGCGTTGGAGCTGAATAATACCAAAGTCCTGCTCGGGGTATACTATTGTCCTTCTTCACGTCTAAACTACTTTACTTCTCTAGAAATAATTCTTGAAAATATATCTTCCTTGTATTCACGTACAATTATTACGGGCGATTTTAATACCTGTCTCCTGAAACAAGAACCCCGTTCCGCTTCCCTTCAATTCATTGCAGATTCCACTAATCACTTTATTCTGCCTCTAAAGGTAACACATAATTTTTCTAATACTAGTCCGTCACTTCTTGACCTAATTTTTGTGTCTTCCACTGAACTAGTCTCTAACCCTGGTCAATGTTCAACTGATGATTTTTGTTATCATGATCTCATATTTCTTTCTTATAAAATACGTCTCCCTAAAATTAAGTCAAAGTTTCTTCTGTGACTCAATTTTGGTGTTATGAATATTAACAGTCTTCGCGAAGATGTCAAACATTGATTGGTCACCACTTTTCAATGCGGAAATGGTAGATAACAAAGTAGTTTTATTTACGGCTAACTTAACTAGTCTCTATGATAAACATGATCCAGTTCGTGCCGTCAAAATGAAATATCTTCCTTCACCGTGGTTTACGGAAGCAATTAAAATTTTATTAAATAAGAAAGCTGCAGCTAAGTCAATATATAAATGCAAAACTACAGACATAAACTGGGAAAAATAAGTTACTATCCGAAATCACTGTAACAAGTTGTGTAGGAATGCTCAACGTCATTATATCCATGAATCAGAACAGAATGATGATCCAGCTAAAGTCTGAAAAGGCGAACGGCACGTTTATATGGTAATTTCGTACCGCTACAAAAATTTTGTGTTTCGGGACATTTTTTGTTTTAATTGGTAGTTAGTAGGATAGATCAACAAAAATTGTGAAAAGTCAGAATGTGTCAAAAAAGGCACGTAGGGCAATTCACAATACTGTAGTAGTCCCTACTTTAACATATGGTAGTAAAAGTTGGGTGTGGCAGAAGAAGCACGAGAGTAGAATAAATGCAGTAGAAATGCGGTCGCTAAGGAGTATGTTAGGGCCGAATCTGAGTCACAGGGTGAGAAACTGTGTGATAAAAGAAGAGTGTGGTTTGCAAGATGATGCAGTCACCAGGATTAAGAAAGGAATGCTTCGGTGGTTTGGTCATGTAGAAAGAATGAATGCGGAAAGACTAACAAAGCAAATATATGTTGCAGAAGTGAATTGAAGAGTCGGAAAGGGACGTCCTAGGAGGAAGTTTGTCGACCAAATTGGCGATATACTAAAAATGGGCCAAATTAAGGGTACCCTTAACTGAAGAGCATGTATGCGTAGTTATATGGATGTGGAAGAGGCGAGAGAGGTATGTCAGGATCGTGCTAAATGGAAGTCTGTAGTCTCTGCCTACCCCTCTGGCTGACAGGCGTGAGTGTTTATGTTTATATGTTTTATCAACAAAAAATCTGATTTTCTATGTAGAAATCTTCTACATACATTTCAAACGACGCAGAAACCAACCGAAAGCATGCTCAACTATTGCAAGGACACGCACTCACACACACATATGCATTTAAAATCATATGCAACCAATAATCTGGTTTTAAATGCACATGCGTGCGTCAGGTATTGAAATTATACGTTATATTAAACAAAGAGAAGAAATATGTGTGCGTAAGTATATGTCAGAAGCTTAGCATTATTGCAGCGTCACTTGAAATGTTACGTAGATTAGTTACGTAATTAAGGTTTGAGATAGCAGATAATGTTGTTTTCTTATAATAATGAGTGACAAAAACATATTTATTTATTACATAATACATCTTACTAACAGATCAAACAGAATGCAATTGTGTCCTTATTCATTCCAAATTTAAAATTCTCAAAATACAATTTACTAAAAAAAAAACAATAAGAGCC